AGGTTTGAAGCACTGTCATGAAGGTAAAATTAGTTTTCGGGCACCTTGTCAGAGAATGTAGACGTCGGATGAGTCTTATGGGCCGCGGTCCTTTGCTCGGCCAAATTCTATTATGACGCTGGCCTTCCATGCCTCATTTGTGTTTCTAATAAATCCAAATAACGTGCCGCGTACGTAATTCGTCCGCAAAAACCGCATGCAAATTCCATGCAAGCGCTCCGTGAATCGCACGCTCAATATCAAACGATTTGATCACCTTGGATTTTTACGCGGCGATGAGTTACTTATTGTGCAGTTAGTGATGAGAAGGTCAATTTCCTTTTACTGCAAACGAAAATCGGGGGTATTTTGATTATCTTGTGGGTGCATTTGGCGGGTCGCACGAAGCAGATCGGTTGTGTGACAACGTATGCTTAACAAAGGACATCGGCCACAGTGGGACATGCTGAGAATTGCAGCGAAGTGATGCAGATGTCTATAATATACCTATTTCTTAGTCCAAGGAAATCCCCGCTCGTTACCACCAGTCATGAGACGTGCCGTGCCCTTGAACAATGTGAAGCACAGTGCTTTCACTATCATGGACAGTCCAGTAAAATAATCGCCTTGGATGTACATAACTCACTCACAGAGTACAGGGTGAATGACTAATGCGAGTCAACCACACGCAAAATACGTGTTACCCTCAGAGCTTCACCATGATTTGAATGGCGTCACTTGGATTCGTACATCTGTGGGTTGTCAGTCTCCGAAAAAAAACGTTTTTTATACTCGGACACCTGCCAGTCTTAATCCGTTGGGTCGAAGTGGACTATGAGATGGTAGCGTTCCACTAGTCAATAGTACGAAAATTCAAATAAAAATGATGGACGAGAAAAGAACAACTTCCTATATAAAAAGCTAATACCCGTTTCTTGGATTAAACGTGTATTTTTATTTGAAACAATTAGATCCCTTTAGTAATTTGAATAATGCCGTAAGAAGACGAACACTGGCAGATGTCAACATTTCGTATTGTCTCTTCAGTGCCAACACAATAACATGAAGATATGTAAGACGACAGGTAGGGTGAGACCTGTCGTCTTATATATTTTCATGTTATTGTGTTGGCACTGAAGAGACAATACGAAATGTTGACACCTGAGTATTTTTATGCTATTTTATGGAATTTATACCTTTAAAGTGGTTCAGTATGCATACAGACAAGAGAAGAAAATTTAGTGCGTAGAAGCACATAAATGCACCATTGCGATGGGTGAAAATGGTATAAACGGACTTTTCTGTTGAGTGCACGGCTGCCAATGTGAAACATGCCTGTGCATACGGATGCATGCCAAATATGCTGCGCTCCCACCGTCAACAGTGCGAAATTACGGCCAAAAACAGAAAATTATCCCTTATATACAAATTTCCGGAAATCGATCATTAAAACAAAAATATAGTGACGTCGGTAATTCGAAGATAAATTAGTGCAATAAGCTGTTGTCTACATATTAAATGTCGATTAAATGTGTTCCCGCACCAGGAATGTTATAAAAAGCCGTCCCTTATGCTCAACTAAAATACAGACTAGTGGAACACTACCATGGGAGATGTGTGTGGGAACTGTGAATCCCACAGTGCGGACCACCTACAAGCGTAAAGTGTCGCACGAGCAAGGCTTGTGCTAATGGCAGCAGCTAGCCAATTGGCTCGAACCCAGTGCGATTTTACACATCGGAGTGAGAAGGTTGAAATTTTCGTTGAAACGCATTTGACAAGTGCTATACCCACGTTAAAGTAACACAGGATCTCATCAGAGGACACCACTCAGTAGAAAAACACGTACAAATGTCCGATCGTCGGTTGACAATGTATCGCAGCTGTAGTGGTTCCGAATTGGAATTTGTCCGATTCAGATGTTTGCTACAATTTGAACAGCGGATTTTAATGCGTCGGGCTAGTGACCCTCATGCCGCCGCGGTAACAAACGAAACTAATGACCAATTACGGAACGGTTCACAGAGTTTGGGCATTAGTCTGTATCCGTTTCGTCACCAAGCGAGCTGTCCTTACCGTACTGACGACGTCACTGAGCTCAGTGGCGAAACGTGTGCGAAATACCTAACAATTAAACAACCGACCCGGGCTACTAAAAGTGTAACTGAGGAAGTACGGAGCGGAAAACAGACCCGAAATATTAGATTCCTATGGATTGAAGGCCAGCATGTAGGATTGCCACTTGATATCTTATCGCGTCAAGTGGGATACTGCTCCTAAGCACCATGGTGAACAAACTGGAAGCTGCAAACAACAGGGATGACAAACATCAAGATGATTAGATGAGTCAGTGTTTTCTGGCGGTCTACCCTCAGTGACTAGTTGAAACATCAAGGTGATCATGGTGTAATACTATTTGCACACCTGTGCACTTTGTGACATCATTGAAGCGAGCGCGTTTCCACCAGATGAGACCTCTCGATGCGATCGGATGATAAAGATGAAAAGTACCTAGTTGAGATAGTGTAGGCGGCATAGCTTGAACGAGTAACCCGTGTAGGCGCTACGATTCGGTTACTTATCGGTAAATGGATGCCTAAACTTACTCGATGATGATCATAGGAAAGCGTTTTCAGTAGCGCTAACGTAGGCGGTGTGGCATAGGAATGGTTACAACAAAGATAATATAGCAACAGATCATGTGAGTAGATCGGTGAACGTAGTTACAGTGCATGCGAATCAGCGTATAGTGAAGCAGAAACTGGTACAACAGTAGCATGGGACAAAGATGGAACCACAATGCAAAAGATGACATGCCCTTCATAGTAAAAGCGTTATTTGAAGGTCATGGCAAATACTAGTTGTGTTCCAACGAAGTGAAGCGGTCACCGAAATGGAATCTGACAGATATGTGTACTACTGAAGCTCCTCGCATGAGGAGGATGGCAGTACAAGCGATAGCATACAAGGTTGACTCCAAGACGGGTGATTAGAACTGACAGCGTCGACGGAGCCTCAGCTGTAGTATCGATTGTGGGAGCAGTCAGCTGAACAGTGGCATCTGTCGCTGCGCATGCGGATTTCGTGTCCAAAATTGGTTTCCAAAACCCCTATTTGTGATCAGAAGAACAACTCGGAAACCTTGGCCTCCTGTGACCGGTGAAGGAAACCGTGATTGCGTATTTTTCAACCGTGCAGTTATGCTCCACGAATCCTCTTAATTCCTTATCCGCACATTTGCACCAAAGAAGATGGGGGAGGAGCACCGGGAAGACTGCACTTCACCAGCCACCGATACCGAAGGCACGGGGAGGTGGACAAACCGGAAGATAGCATGTAGCAAGCAACACACGGGAGTTAATGGGAATCAGATAGAAAGACAAACAGAAGTACGTATCGCAAACATAAAAGGACATTCATTGATGGTAGAAAAGTTAAGTTACAGGTGCTTGTCTGAGACAGTGTGCTGAGGAGAGAGGTGTCGGGTGCTCGGAACAGAGATGTACATTTTGTTCAGGTATCGGAAACAAAAGACGAAATTTCCGATATGCTGTGTCGGACTCTGCTAGAATAGAGTGTAGGTCAATGCCCAGTAAAGAAGAACGAGCGGGGCGAGTACGCGGCACACTGAAGTTTATTCCAGACCAAAACCTGAACCAGAAGTGTGTTAACTTACATCGTACAATCTGCACTGGTTATCGTTCGATCGCACATGGGCATTGCTTTCGAATCAATCGATAGCTTTCCAATATTACAATCGGATTGTTGGGCAGCAGCTGTCTTTGACCTCGGGATCAGCTTGTTTTTGTCTTCGGGGCAGATGCCTGAGTGACCACGTTCACAAGCTCTATTGGCCTGCGCTAGAGAGAACGTACCTGAGACTGGGAGCACCCGCCCTGCGGGTTAAATGCGCCGCGGTTTACCTTAAGATAAACCTCGGTACTTCCGAGCACCGGGGCCGTATCTAACCGAGGTGGAGGGTTTCAGTGTTGCTCACTTCCCTCGACGCTGTACTCCACGACGGACTGGTTTCGTCCTGATTTGGACTCGTGAGATAGAGATTGCTTGAGCTGAGCGGGGAAACTGACACTGTGATGAATTTCGACTTGGTGTCTAGGCCAGGGCTCCACAGAAGCGCTTGACACAGCGGTTAGATGTTCGTTATTTTGTCTTACAGTAAAGGCCGTGCATCTGGGTTGCGATACACAATTTCCATTGAGGTTACAGTTTGCTTTGAAGCAAACCTATGCGATCTCGCTCACTGGAACCGCATCCGAAGTGTAGAGTTTCGGAGCTGCTTTCTCCCAAATCCGCACGCCACCACCGACTAGTTTCATCCTCGTTTGAACTCGTCAGGTAAAAATAGTCTCAAACGGAAGTGGAACCCTAATCGTGCTGGCTGAAGGCCACTGACCTCCAAGCGTTGTTCGTGTAGCTCAATGGCCTAACAATCAAAGCATCAGCCATCAACCATTGTGTGCCGAGTTCCACTCTCAGCTCTGGTTATGTTTACCGGTAGTGAGGTGTAAGGATGCACGCGAGCAACATCGGTACTTCACAAAAGGACTAGTGCGTAGCGATTAAACTCAGAGCATAGGGTGCAGCTCGTTGCAAAATCGGGATGGTTCCATAACTGATTTTCGAGTAATGTAAAGATGTTACAATGGATTAACTTTCACACTGGTGATGAAAAGATTTTAGGAGTACACCTACTCCGACATATCCGAGGAAAGTATCATAATTGCTTCATCGTGCGCACATGCTCAACCGTTCACAGCTAGAGAAGGTGGAACAATCTACATCCAAAAATCTTCTAGTATGTAGTGGCAGTTTCATTGAGTAGTTGTTATAGCGGCACATGTGCAGACAGCGTATTCGACCCTGAGATAGTAGCAAGTTCAGGTAATCTGATAGTTTGCAAACACTAAACTGCTGAATTGAGTTGGAACGGTAAGAGCGAGAGTGATTTCGAGAGAAAAGAAAACGTGATGCCTCAGAACAGGTCGATAACCATAACTGACCAAGTTCAGCTGGTCCGCGCAAGCCAGACCGGAAGGTCCACTGCCAACCACCACAATTCGACGTCCGGTCGTGGGTCGATGAAATATCTTGGTTGGACGGAACCAACCTTGCTCCCAGGCTTTGTCAGCGATGGCGCATTCGATGTGTTTGATGGTGACCGGGTCGGAGTTGATGCCCAATACGCAAGCTCCTTCACAAGGGGCCGGACACACACGACCAGTAAACTCCGGGAAGTTGTTAGTTTGAAGTAGGGCTTGGTAGGCCGCATACCAATCGTCCTACGTGTGGGAGAAAAGGAGTAGCTTGCATTTAGATCTAGGAGATTCGGGAGATAGCTTCCGAAGGCACACGATACAAGGCAGTGTAAAGTTCAGACAGTTAAGCATGTGCTAACAAAGAATGTGAGGTTTTCGAGAATTTGACGTACATAAACAGCCGACATTCATTTCCTCATTCTAGACTGTTTTATAGCATTGCAGTAAGCTTTGACACACAATTCAACTCATCCGATTTTAGGTTAGGCTCTAACTTCATCTGAGGTAGTACAAGGGTAACAACAAACTTTGATATAAGCGGTCTACGACCAATGAAATTGTAGATCGTATCAAGGGAGAAAACCGCGTAGGGAACAGGGAAAGCAGCTGTTGTGACGCTATCCTATTTAATTAAATAAATGAAAAGCATAAGCTTGTAACTATTTGCCTAAGAAAAACTAACGGGAAGTTGTGAGATTAAAGTTCAATTTATGAGATCACGCCACACACTAGAGTTTACGATTTTGGTGATGATAATTCAATAAACACCCTTAATGATTCAAGCAGCTAAATGGGCTCAGTGGTGGAAGGTGTTGTAAGAAACCGCCATCTGCAACATCTCCTGTGTTAGTTTAGTCATCGGTAATCCGCCAGCGCGCCGTCCCGATACTTCGCTATCACGCGATCCTGATCAGTCTTGTGCGGGCTAGGCTTATTGGGAGATTCGAACCGGTGAACTTCAGGTCAGAAGACAGACGCCTCATCCGGTCAAACCGAAGAAAAGGTGCTACTGAATGACCGCACTCACATAATGTCGGTTGATTACTATGCGCCCATTCAAACAGTTGCGTCGTTTGCCTTGAAGGAAAAGGCAACATCCTTCCGGAATGAAGAATATATGGAGCGTGTGTAGCTGTTGTCACCACGGTAAACATCTTGGAACCTTTCGTCTAGTTGAGATGGATTCACCGGTATGATGAACCAATGACTACTGAAAAGGTGTTTAGAGTCCTCAGGTTAAAGTATCTACGATATCTAAACACAACGACTGAACACAGTGGAACGCAGTTCTTTGAGGTCAAGATGAAAATTGGGGTACCCACTCGGTTATTATGGATGGTGGAAGACATCAAAGGCAAACAAAGCCCATGAAATACTAGTATTAAAACAGCCTGCGGAACATCTTTTATAATTTAGAGACAGCGAACCAACAGACGAGGTTGACCTTAACAAATTGTATATATTGAGACTTAAGCGGCGAAGTAGAAGCCTTCATTTTCGAGAAAGCTACTTTAAATGATGAATGTCAGACGCGTGCTAATCAGGATCAGTGGTCTGTCGATCCAGTCATTGGTTCTACGCTGAAACAGGAATTGCTGTACCGCACGGTAACAGGTTCGACTCTAACAGAAACATTACCAAGCGCCAGTCTGTCGATTCTCTCAAGATTTCGTAACCCAGTCGAGATTAAATAAAAAAGAGGCAGACTTGCGGAACAGTCTCCACGTGGTGCCAGCTGGGTGGTTCGGGATTATCTCGTTCCAGCGAATGGATCGGCTGCAGTGTTCCAAGAGGTGGTGGATTTTCGTCTGGCAAGCGCTCACCCTATAGAAAACCAAATACGTCCGCTAAACAACGCTGTGACGTGGTGCATGTGATTCACAATCGAACAAAGTCACTGCTTCTTGATTCACTCTGGTGAAGCACTGTACTCTAACTGGTGTGTTCCGACATCAGGTGAAGGACTGGGCCCCTTTTGGCAACCGAGCAAACAAAAGACCTATGAACTGAACAATCAATTTCCGGCTCCGACGGGCGAGATTCACTGAATTCGCCCCGCTGCCTTGTGGGCAGGCTATTCAGCCATACTTGGGGTGATGTCCCCAAAGACAACTTCCTACTATGGCTTGAGCACCTGAGTAGTATCACGTCGACTGAGGGAATCATGTATCGCTTATTTGTTATACCGCGCTCAACTGCTCTTGCTTCCGTTACTCGGGCACTTTTTTCATATGCCGCTTGTTACTAGTCCCTGTTGTCTGATAACAGTCGATCCCTGATTACAGGATTTTACTCCCAATTGTTTTGTAGACACACATACAGCTCGAATAGTGGCCCTACTTCGGCATCGGTCTTCCTTCCTTCTGGCATACTTCAATGGTAGTACGCTCGTGAAGATGGAGCAATAGGCTAGTCGCGCACATACCTTGAAATCCCTCACTATAGATGCATGCTATCTTTTCGAAACCCGATTGCAAGATCCATGCAGTGTGATTAAGTTCACATAGACTCAGCCTAAGTAGCCATATTTCACTTGCATCTATCTGACGATACGGAAGCAGAGGCAGCAGATTTGACTGGTATTGGTGTAGCAATAAGTAGCAAAGCCGAAGTCACACGGTGTGCGGTCTCGGCTTGGGGGTTCATGAAGAAACAATATACGTCGCGAAGAGAGATGCAAATTGCTTGCGATCTCCACGTACGCTCCGAAGAACTACAGTTGTGACTCGGTCAAAGACAACTTTATCGTGAACTGCACCAACTCTTGGGAAGGGTCTGCGAATGCGATACTTTTCCCATTGCTGGGAATCTCAACGCATAAGTCGGTTGTCTATTACCATGTGAATGTCACTTCGGTGGTCATAATGCGCTCGATGACAGCCGCCCAGATAACGGATAGACTGTACACAGTGTGTGAAGACAATCGTCAGTTTCTCTAGAGCACCAGAGTAAGATATACAAGGAGATGTTTCGCTACTTGGCGTCTAGGCTGCACAAGATAAGCGTGGCCTAAAATTGATCACATCGCAATCAGTTTCAAAAAGTGGGAATAGTGTACCGTAGTATTGCAGATCAATTTGGTCCATAGTTCTTGACTCGGACCATGGTCTAATCTGTGCGAACATCTACATGAGTTGCAGAGGGTCCCCAAAAAGGAGGCATTGAAAGATTGATATAAATGGACAAGCTTCTTCCTCGGTTAAGCCGAAATACCAATCTTCGTTGGCAGATAACTATGCTGCGATCCGTCGAAGGAAATGTATCAACACTGAACGTTCATGCAGAAGACGAGTAGTCAAGCAACAATGTTACTCAACACCTTTTGAAGGCTTAAATCTCCAAGCGTTCTCTAGATCTGTTCGACCGCCGCTGAAATATTCTGGTAGAGTCTGGTTCTAATGAAGTGCGCCGTTTATTCAACCGGCAGCTCAAGCAATGCTTACGCAGTGATCGAAAAGCCTGGTGGCCTCATGCGCTTCGGAAATGGATGCCGCTGCCCTATCTGGTAACACTAGCAAGCTCTTCCAGCTAATCCGATCCACTGACCACAGGAAGTTTAGTGTTAGTGAGATTTTTTGCGAAGTGGATGGTTCGCCGATTGCTAACCCACGGAGACGCCTGGATCGACGGGCCGAACATTTTCATTCCCAGTTCAAATGGTCCTCACTGTCCACTTGTATGCTGTGCGAGCCCAGCTGTCCGCCCTAGGTCGTTACACATAATCCACCCACCGAAGCGGAAGTTAGCCTTGTGATTGGGTATTTGAAGCGATTCAAGGTTGCCGGCTCAGACGGCACAGTCAGCTAACCTCAGTATTCTCCAAACTCGGGTATGAAGAAAATGTGCCTTCTTCCTGGGGCGAATCAGTTATTGTCCAAATTGTTAAGAAGAATGCTCGCAGGTTATGCGCTAATCCCCGGGGGAGCAGTCTCACTTCAGCTGCCTTTAAGCTATTGGCATCCATTACACTCCGTAGACTCCCATTCGTCAATCACAGTAACGGGAAGAACAAGCTGGTTTCCGTCTTGGCCGTGCATAGGTGGGTCAAGTGTTCACGCTCCGCAAACTCCTCGGACACCGCCACCCCTAGCAGAGATCCGTCATCGTTGCATTCTCAGGCATCCGTGCTGCATTCGACTCGGTTGATCGACCTACGTTATGGCGTTGCTTGTTAAGGAACGAGGTCCCAGATAAGCACATTACCATCCTGCACGCACTACCTTCACGTCACCAGCAGAGTGAGAGTCTATGGCAAGCTTTCTCTGTGCTTCGTGATCAATAGCGGTATACAACAAGGCTACCCTATGTCTCCGTTCCTCTTCAATTTTACGCCTGCAGACGTCCTATCGAAATCTCTGGTAAGTTACCAACATTTTGGCCTGCAGCTACTACCGGTTAAGCGAAAGACTGACTTAAGTTATTTTGATGACATCGCTCTACTTGTTGACAACTCGCAGGGTATGGAAACCATTCCGAACTGTTTGGCGAAGTTGGTGCTGCTCCAAGATGCGCACGTTTGAAGATACACAGCTGCAACAGGCGGGGATGACTTACCTACCTGAGCAGCTGCGTGTCTAATGGCGATACCAGTGGGAACTACGTTTCCCTCCGTAGCGCTAAATCGCAGTCGATGTTCGTTAACATGAAACACTTATAATGTTGTCGGATGTCTCGGTTATGATAAAGGGCAGGATATACAATGCCCATGTTCGAACGGCATTGCTATATGGGAGCGAGTGATGCTCAGCTCGCGTAGATGACATGAGCCGGTTCTGAGCCCTCGACAACGAGCGCACGAGGAAGATTGCTCTTGTGCGGTAGCAACAGCTTATCTGTAGCAGTGAGGTCAAACGTCGTGTATCAAGGAATGCGGGTATTCCCTTCAAGAAGCTGGTTTTGCTGCGTCGGTTAAGATGACTCGGTTACGTAGTGCGAATCTTATCTGAGCGTTTGCTTCATCGTGCATTGTTTGTAATGTGCTGGCCTCAGTTGGAAGAGACCATGAGATGGTCAGCCGTACACCCCGCGACAGCATAGGAAATCAATGGCTTCGAGTTTAGCCGCCGATGAGTCTACACGTTTGTCTGGTTGGGGACCAAAGGATAGAGTATGCCGATGGCTAAAAGAAATCAGGTTACGGTGTGTAACCGAAACCAGTGGAAGATTTGTGCACATAATTGTTTGGATTCAAATGTTTAATGCGCAACAATCAAGAAGGACAAAAAGACGTGTGAAAAAATTAAATTTGTTGCCTTTCTCGTGACATTTGTTCCTGTCAGCTATTGATTTACATGTGTTTGGATATTAGATATATCCAGAGGGAGAGATGCCATATGGCAGTTGCGATGAAATTATACGTCGAAGCCGTCATTAAAACAGTAGGACAAACATGAAAAGCGAAAGAAGCACAGAATGGTCAGATGGGCCTTCGTACAGCGCATTATCGAAGTGGTCAAAGTAAACGACATCTGTTTGTCCTAGGAAAAAAGCACACACCATTGCATGCATGCATGCATGCATGCATATATATATATATATATATATATATATATATATATATATATATATATATATATATATATATATATATATATATATATGTGCGTCTGAGTCCCAACTACAGCGTGCTTGTGTTGTGTGTTGATGAAACGTAGCTCCCATCCGCATGCCTCCCGGTCTTATTCCTTCGGATTTACACTGGATATGGGTGTGTGGTTGGAGCTGTGGGTGGTGCAGCGCAACCCACCCATGGTCCCTCTGTAAGCGCAGGCGTCCTGTGGCTGGCCACAGTGACAGACAAATCCGGAACCGGATGCCGCCAACCATATATATATATATATATATATATATATATATATATATATATATATATATATATATATATATATATATATATATGTATCGTAGCCTCACGAAGTCAGCGCAATATCCGTTGTCGTAACAGAAATACTAGATGGCCATAGCTTTGGGCTAATTTGTGCCTACATGTAGTTGTTAACACATAAAAAGGAAAGGAAGGCTTAACGTGTGTCACCACTTTAGACTAAAGGTGAGGTTGTTTCTCTACAGATGCTAAAACATACAAATAGAAACCGTGGAAAAAGCAAGAAGCGGCAGTAGGGAACTCGTATGCCGCCTACCTTGAACACCAGATCGTTCCAGTTCGGTATGAGATTTCCCAATGGGCAACCGGTTTGTGATTGGCAGAATGGGATACCACAATCCATGCACCGCGCCGCTTGTCGTTTCAGACCACTTTGAACTTCCCCGTGGGCGTACACCTCTTCCCAATCGTTCATTCGCTCATCAGTAGGCCGATAGGACACGGTGTTGCGAGCGTATTTGACGAACCCACGCAGCTTGTCCAGCGGCAGCTTTGAAGCGGAGTGGTTTGTCACGTCGCCCTCAGCCATGTCTTCGATGTCCGGTGCAGAGGGCTTAGAACAAACAGGAAGAACCAAACGATGGAAACTATCAAATGAGGTGACAAAAAGTAAGGAGCTGGGGGTAAACAGCGCAAAAGATAGCGATGCCGAAAGCATCGTCAAGAGATGGGCTGTCACAACTACAAGAAGGATGAACACTAGCAAATAGACCGATCAACAGGCCCACAGTCCTGATAGGGGAACATTGAAAAACAAACACCAAAAACTAACCATTCGTTTGCTCGCTTTCTCTGGTTTCTGCATCAGACCGTCACACGTGACCGGGCCGTTGGCCTGTGTGTGTTGTGCGGCTTCCAGTGCCCGACGATATTCAGGAGGAAACACCAAAATGAAGTTCCGGATGGCAGTCGACCAATCCTTGAGTATGGCTTTACCGACCTGCCAGAAGGAGTAGAAAGAAACAAGGTGTTCAAACGTGCCAATAGCGCTATCAAATTCACAACAGACATCATTTGATAATGCGTGGAAACGAGGTATCGGCATAATTCAAGTGAAAATGGGGTAAACTGTGAACTGATGTCAGTTGGGACACAAAAGCGGTGCACAAAGGTTTCGAGTAACTGGCTGCCATACTCGAATTGTTATTCGGAAGGACACATCCGCGTAGAAATACTTCAGGTATGCCGAAACACTTCTTGAAAGCAGAAGGACGATGTACATCAGACACAACAGTCCTTAATTTGTGCTTACTGGATTGGGTTCTTAAGAGATTGGAGCTGAATGTCTATGCGACCGGTTCATATATAGGATGAGATGGCGGCCGGAAATCTGTTCCCACCGATAAAATTGGACAATCTAGTGGTTTGATGAGGGCTGTCCTCGAGGCCTGCAGTTACCGGGAGCTTCAAGTGCACTACGATGCTAGTTATTGACTTATCAGGAATCAGTCATGACGAGCTGTGCGACGGACTTAAACAATTCCGCATACACAATGTGGTCTATTCGGAGGGATGCAAATCAAAGTGAATAGAACGTTCGTTGGTACATGTGACAAATGACCACAGGTTACTTTGTGGATAGTTAAAGATGTGTTGAGAAGCAGATTGTTTCACCGACGACTTCCAAGAACCGCTGTCGATCCAAGAGGACTCAGTTTGCTCAGGGAAAAATTACGGTCTGACGGGAGACAGGCGGACTTTCAAAACAGGTGATAACCTGTCACAAATAAGGGACAGTAAGGACTGGTGTACTTGAAACTGTATTTTGCGAGCTAGGTTTACATATTTCAGATGGAACAACTCGGTGATAAATCTCAAGAGATCCTGTCCAATTTACAGCGACCGATATGAGATGTATAAATCGGGGGCAAAGGGGTGAAGCATTCGAAAATGTGAATTTGTACAGGATCTAAATGCAGTGCAAACTAGCCGATTAAGTGGCAACTGAGAGGAAGGCAGTGGTTGACCGGGTTGTCTTAGACAATAGACAGACACAAAGCCAAGTAATCAGTCCGAGACGAAAGGTAAAATGCCGTCAACCACATCCCATTTCCACCATGCCTAGGCGAAACGACTGACTATGCAAAAAAGAGAGAGAAAAAGGCGGAGCCTTTAAATTAGCCATTGCCCCTCCCCCAAAACATCGCTTTTTGCACTACCTACCGCAAACGTACAAACTGTGTTTGAATCGTTTGATGAATTCTTTGGCTGGATAATTTCAAGATCACTGAGGTCGCTCAACTCACTGATTCTTTGAAAAAGTATCCAAGACACCACGCAAAACTCGCGGTTTGCTGCTTTTATCCAGTTGAAACGAGCCATCAGTAAAGGTTTTAACAAATGTTGACCTCGTCAACGTGTGGTCGTTACTCAAAGATTCGGGAGTGTTTACGTAACTGACATCTGTAAAATTGTAAAATTCTCATCTTTACTGATGATGCTTATATCACATTTGTGGTAGATAGTGTAAAATGCTGAAAGTGCATCCATCTGGATGCATAAAGCTCTTCTTGACTTGAATCCGCCCTTTGTGAATGACGAAATGATCGTAGCGCTTGGGATGGATAATGTCATCAACTGATCAAAAGGATGGGTCGGTCGGCCCTGAGACTACTGCAGATATAGCAAATACAAAGGATGACGGTTGAAACGGCCACATTCATCCGGGCTAGTATGCTTCTCAGGTCGATTCGGTTTTCAATACCAGACGGACAAGAGATCGAATAAAGTAGGTAACTTTGTCCTCGCTCATTGTTGAGATAGTCAGCAGTAAACGATGCATCAGAAACGAGAAATGGGATCCAAGATCACGCAAAATAGGAATAAGCGTCCCGTATTTCTACCAGGGTCCCATATCCAGCAAATCCTCCGTCTGAAGCACACATTGAGTCGAAAGTCGGTTGGTCCAGGTAGCCGTTTCCTTGTTTCTTCAACTCGCAAAGCACCCTGGAGCAGGATTTTATGTGTTCGTGCCGCTCGCAGCAATGATCATCGGACAAGAGGATCGATTTCGTTCTTTTTCTAGAATTAGACCACAACACCACAAGATAATTGGAGACGTTGAGAGAAGAGTCATGCCCTTGGGTATCAGCACCGTTCCAAGTAATGGTATTAGATTAGTCACGCTAATTTCCAGCTGGCAGCTGCTGCTTTAACGGAAGCCGCCGTCACCCACGGCCCAGTTGCTTAGATGACCGTCCGGCAAGAGGGAGACTTCAAGGTTCGAATTTCATTCGGTCAATGTTCCACTGCAATCTAAGCAGACAAATGCAGTGAATCTAGTCAACGCGAACAACACCACTATGGTATTAGAAGCTGTAAATAGTAGTAATGCAAGTTCACTGCTGACTGCAGTATTAGGAAAATGGAGAGGCGACAAAACTGACATGCCCTCCAACATCATCATGACTGAAGGCGAATGTATTGATTCCGCAATTGCTATAGCAGAAGCCTTTAGCTCATATTTTGCTGAATCCTTTAGTCTTGAAAAAGCACTGGAATTGTCAACCACGATTAACTTCTTCGAACAAGTCTCAGTGATCGATCTTAGTGTCACTACGATAAAACACATGTCTATGACCATCTTACAAACCTGGTCCCAACGCCTGAGTCAAACATGGTGATGATATCCCTCTTCTGTTGTTGAATAGCTTCTCTTTGTCTCTTCAGTCTAGTCAATATTCCGAACGTTGGAAGACGTTTGCAGTTATACCCAGACATAAATCCGGGTCGAAAACTGACATGCGGGACTAGCGCCCCATTAGTCACACTGCCATTCTCTCACGCATATTAGAGCATTGTTAAGGAATATTTGGTTTCGTTCCTATTATCGCACCGACTTCTCTCACCTTCACAGCATGGCTTTCTGAAGTTCCGTTCGTGTGGTATCTGTCAAGTTGACTTATTTAACCAACTAATTGAAGTAATTGATTCCTGTTTTCAGTACATTGTCATCTTCCTTGACATGCAAAAAGCGTTTGACAGAGTTCCACACAAGAGGCTGCTATATAAATTAAGTACGGGGTGACAAATCCGCCTCGCTCTTGGATCCAATCGTACCTAGTAGGACGGTCGCAAGTTGTGAATATCATTGGTAACATCTCTTTACCTTGTCTGGTCACCAGTGGTGTGGTACATGGCAGTGTTTCAGGTCCGTTACTTTTTCTACTGTTACAGTATGTACTGTTATATACTTTGGCATGTCATATTTGTTTGCTGATGATCTAAAGGCTGTTTACACATTCGCAAGTTCTCAGCATACTGCTGAACTCAAGGATATTCAAAGCGACTTGAAAGGCATTGAGAGATGGGCTGATATGTGGCAGATGACGCTTGCAAGATCGAAGTGTAGTATTCTGGCGTATGGATGTCAGACAGCAGCAGAATTGTTCAGACTTCATGACGAAGTCATGCACATCAGCCAGTCTGTCCGTGACTTAGGTTTGAGATACTCTAGTTCCCTAAACTTTAGCGAACATACTAAGAATATCGTGAAAAAGGCTAAGCAATCGGTCGGGCTCATTTGCCACCTGCTAACCTTGAAAGAAACCAGACTGCTTTCAAAATCAGTATCAGGCCTTTGCTTGAATATTGCTGGGTTACGTTCAGTAACTTGCGAAAGTGTGACTTGTGAGCCATTGAAAATGTTCAACGCGCCTTTACGAAGCGCATATTTGCTATTATTCAACCGCTCTTTAATATAGAGATAGGTGCAAGGAGCTGGATTTTGGATCTCTGTGATTATGAAGAATGCATTTAAATCTGTGCTTCCTCTACAAACCCGCGTGGCGGAAAGCATATATCTTGTAACCTATCAAGTGCACTAACAGGAAAATGCCAATTATGAAGGGCGAGATAGTCACTTTAACTAAATCCCGAACCAGTCTAAAGAGAAATTTCTACCTTCTTAGGTATGGCTCTATGTGGAATAAGCTGCCAAAAATAATTATATGTATTGGACATTTTGCATGTTCAAGAAAATGATAAAGATTTATCTGTCAACCGACAGAGTGAAATGCATTTTAAGAATTTAACGTGATGATGAGAAGCTGTATGAAGAAGGGCCGGATCATCGACTAGAACGATGTTCAACAAATGCGCCAGCGCAAACTTGATCATCCAGGTTGAGCTGTTACAACCGCTTCCCATGCTATTCTCTAACGCAATCACTTATGCGGTTTCACGTCATTTAAACTTACTTCCTACCAGCAAAATTATTTACTGGTATTGGGTCAGGAACCATCTTCGCAACCCTCCCCTCAAATTGACTAATTCGTAGTATTTGCTGTGCGATTCTCTTCGTTACATTTGTTTTGTAATGCTAACCGTTTCCTCCTCTTTTCCGGAGTTAACAGTCAGCAACACATACCGGATTCCAGTGCTTGGTGATATCGGATTCCCTATTTACCTATTTGTATATGGACAACTCGTGTAGTTATCTGTCTTCGGCTGTCACACCGCACAATTTGATCGTATAACATGTACGATCTATTTTGCACCGTTGTAAAACAGGTTATTTGCTTATTTTTGGCATTAACGAGAGTATACTTATTGTACTCAATTTTTCTCGTTTTACATGCTTCCTTATTTCATTGTGAACCACGAGTTGGGCTGATCTCCTGAGGTGACGGATTGAAGCTTCCAGATTATAAACGAATATACCCATGCAAGGCACATTACCACCAACTGACTGTCGTATAAAAAAGTGCCATAATTGAATGATCCGCATGACGGAACGGGCTGAGGCTTCATCAGCCCATAATGTGGGCGCAAAAGCAGTCCTAAAAAGAGCACAACATAGGTTAAACAGGTGACGGCTTATATGCTACTTTGCCAGGTATAACATGGAAGTGCGGATGAAAGCTTTCGGAAGAACACCTTGCATGGGAGCAGGTCTCCTGGGGACGGTTCTAGAGCCAGTCCGTGTTGGAGTTCATCCATGGTGAGATTTGTTACGTCAGGGTTTCAAGTGGGTTCAAGTGACCCAGCCAGACGACCTAAGATGTTCGGTCGACTACATTGCTATTCGAAGAAATAGATTCGTTACGCAGCAGTATGATGAGAAGATAAGACATAAAAGGAGAAATGGGGCAGTCCCGAAGCACTGTTTGGCATAGAGAAACCAGAACAGAGCTGCTCGTGAACCCTCATACGTATCCCCTAAGGAACAGTGTTGGGGCCTCTTTTGTGTCATATCTACAACAAGAAATTACCTCAGCTTCTCCAGTCGCTTTGTGCCTTGGTTTCAAAAGGCCTGGTGATTTGCAGAGTAACTGATGTGGCCTGCAGAAGTCAATCTGCGGATCAACCCAGACAAATCGTTATTTATGGCCCTGAGGAAGGATAGTAATGGGTATGTGTAGATTCCGACCGGCTAACCGTCTCACGCAATCGCATCCGTGAAGGACCTAGGCGCACTGTCACACTGTGTGGACAAGACGAACAGGCTAGATGGAGACGGACTGTACATGCTTTAGGTGCACAACGGAGCTTCGGCACTTTGTCCGAAGAAATTATCAGTCACCTCGTCTCATAAGACCAATGTTCGAGTATGGCTCACTTGATTATTGTCCGATCATTCCGGGTGAGGTAGGGAAACTGAAACGAGTAAAACACAGCTACCATGCTCATTCCGAGTTCAAGAAGTATATCATACGAAGACCAAGCTCTGCCATATCGTCGGTTTCCAGTGACCTTCGGAATACTACACCTAGGCGACTTCCCCAAGCTAAGACCGCTCTATTCTACCCGCGTGCACCACACAGCACATGTGGACAGTGGTGCAAGTTTGTGGTACCGAATCAAAAGTGGGTAGCTCACTATGCCTTGAGCGTCGTGTGGCGAAATTTTGGAACGGTTTGTCGGAGACAACAATTGAGGCAAAGTAGGTATCGAAATTTAAGTACTTCCTAGCATCCACTTGGCGGACCTTAGATTCAGAAAACATCGTAATTTAACAGAACACTGCATAGTTGCAATATGTTGAATATGAGTGGGAATCAGTAACATTATTCCATGTGAGAACCCGGCCAGATTTGGATGGAGTGGCCCAAATGTACATCTTTTCGCTCTATACTTACATCATTCGGTATGCTTGGAGAACAATGATTGATGCTGAGGGCGCTTTCCCACATAGTGTAAAGAAGAATCAAGTGGAAAACCGTACACCAAAAAGGTGGAATCACGATAACCACACAAATGTCACTCACATTTGAATCAGTTTCATCTGTAAACTCTTGAATAATCGATCGCAACCACGAACTATAAGGGTTGTTCAGGCTCATTGGCTCCATTTCGACCAGCTCCAGATTGCATTTCCGCTTAAACGGACCCTCGATGCCGTCCACGTCGTAAATGAAAGCCAGACCTCCGGACATTCCCGCCGCGAAGTTACGCCCCGTTCGCCCGAGGATCACGGCTCGACCACCCGTCATGTATTCGCAACCGTGATCGCCGACCCCTAGTAGTAAGGAGGAGGAAACGGGCTTGTCAATTTATTGAGAAGGCTAAATCGTAAATCAGACCAATTGCACAACCGACGACTTACCCTCAGCCACTACAGTGGCGCCTGAATTACGAACACAAAAGCGCTCCGCTGCTTGACCTCTGAGGAACAAACGCCCTTCTGTTGCGCCATAGAGACAAACGTTTCCAACTATGATGTTGTCCTCTGATTGGAAGCCTTGATCCAACAACTCCTTGGGAGGGACAATGGTCACGTGGCCACCGGATAGTCCCTTCGCAACACAATCGTTGGCATCACCTTCCAAACGAACGTGCACTCCGCGGACAAGGAAAGCGCAGAAACTCTGGCCAGCACTGCCAGTTAGCCGGACCTGGAGGACAACAGCAACATGGAAGAGGATATAAATACGGGCGAAGTGGCTGATGGAGAAAGTGATGAATATTTTTTGAGGTGGAGTGTGTTGTTTGTCACTAATCGGTTTATGCAGATGTTGATAGATGTAGATACTTGACCCTTGATTAAAAGGCGGATTGAAAGTAAACTGTTAATTAAAGTACAGTTACAAAGTGGTCGCTCAACATGGAAATAAAGGATATATTCCAAAAAGAATCTCGACAATTCAGAAATGACTTGTGACTCAACGGCGATAACAAATTAAATCGTCATTCTTTCAACACGAAACGGAGCTCGTCGTAAACAAAGGAAATAGCGGGTTATTTACAGGTGAATCCGAAAAACTCACACCACAAACCTCATAGTCACGGCCATTATCGCTCGAAATATGTCGAATATTATCGTTGAGTCGTTGCGATTTGCGAGTTCTACTGTCCCACACGGCAGCGATGGTGAAGGATTGTGACAAAGAAATCAATACAAGTATCTCATAGCAATAACAAGAGTGCAACAACTGTAACGGCAATAGTGGAATTCGGTGGATGCTGTGGACGAACTCAAATGTCGTGCAAGATGTACACTTCGTCGTGAGGGAGCAAACCCAGTGTTGGAGGACAACCCATTGGAGCAAACCATGCATATAGCCGGCGATCTGATGCCAAAGGGAAGCGATCTAAATTGCCCCCAGATAGGTCCACAGAGCTCCAACAAACCGTCGCAGCGTTCATCAGCGGACAAGAATGGACACACACGGTGATATTCAAAGTGATTGGTCCATGGTAATGAAATAGTGACGAAAAGTGGTATGCAAATGCGTTTGAACTTTGAGTCACATCGCTGATAAACCAGAACACTTACTTTAATCGCGCGGCCTTCAGGAAGCCCCTGTTCACTAAACTGCATTGAAACAGCGTAGCTGAGAGTGGAGAAAATGGTTCGATCTTCATTTGTGATTTCCCCGGTGAAGGAGACGGTTGCTGGTTGGTCCGGGCTTAGAGGAATATTCGCGGGAGTTTCTATCAAATGTTTGGCCAGAGTTAGAACAGCAATATCCAACCGACGGGTTTGCGGAAGGGTTTGAACTAGTGAATCGAATGAGGAGAGACTAGAGTCGGAGTCCAACAGGCCGTCTTCAATCAATACGCTTGTCCAACTTGGATGAATCTTCATTGGTTCCGTCTTATGCAACAGGCCGGATAAATCGAGGCGGGATGCCTTCCAACTGCTGGCTTCTTCTCTAGGCTGGGAAACAGATAAATACAAGAAATAAGTGTGAAATGCACGCGGTGTGTGGTATAAATGGACGCATGGTGAAGTAGATGATTTGACTAATACCTATAACTAATTCCGGGTTAGATGGAGAAAACGATGATCGTTCTCCAAACGGGAACGTATTTGCCACACAAGTCGAAAAACATACCCACTTGTTGGTTTGTGTAGGCATGAATCACCGTATGACCATTTAGGAGTGCGCGAAATTGATGGGATAACTAAAAGACTATTACTAGTGGCGAGAGCCTAGACATGCACAAAGGGATAAGGGAGCTAGCCAGCCATACAAATGGTAAAAAAGGCATCAGCCGTACGCCGGTAGGCGGTACCGACGCTTCGTTGCTGCACAACCACCAGCAGTCGCGTGTGGGCTAAAGATACTGCGAGGGTCGCCCGGTCCCCCATATAGGCACGAACCCGTGCTCCCGGATTACAAGACAGTCTTAGGATTCGTAAGGCCACGGGCCGGCGATGGCAAAAAGTGACAACACAGAACAGAGCTCCAATTCTGTTAACCTTCGTTACGATCGCGATGTGTGTGAAACTAATTGGATCCGCCTCACGTTGCTGTTCGGGTCATAATAAGAACCATTAACAAGATAAAAGTAATAATAATAATAATAATAATAATAATAATAATAATAACAAGATCTACCGACCTCATTGTTAGCGGTAAATTTACCACGCAATTCGCAAGGTAAATGACGCGTTTAACTCTGAAGTCCCATCAACTATTTGTTTACCCACGCTACGTTCCATGGTTACATGCCCTGCCGACTTGCAAGATGAATAACACGCTTTAAGCATTGAATCCTACCACATATTCGCTCACCCACTCTATGTGTCAGGGTTACATGCCAACCGACATAAGTATTAAGTGATTAGCAAGACACATGTCGGGATCTCAATCTGGATGACCAAAGCAGACACCGGCTTCCCGGTTACCTCGCATGTGATGTCATATCGTTGTTGCTCTGGGTTCACTTCACTTCCCACTATGGAAACCCTTCACTCACACTGTGCAACCCATCCAGACCCCAAAACACACAGCTCAGACTTGAATCATCCTCTCGCCCCCGGGGCACACACCTTTAGGTTCCTCCCACTCCCCGATGTTTGACTGAGCTGAGTCACCCCAAGAGCTTAGCCCATCGCGTTCTCCTTCATATGCTGTAAGGCGAACCAATAAGCCAAGAGTTAACAGACCTAATAAAAGAAAGGTTGTAGCCCAATCGTGGACTCTGTATTGTGTGGCTCTTTATGTACGGTGGCAAATACCGGTTGCATTCCTTTTGGGCATTGTGAAGCCAGATTGTTTCGAAAATGAACGGGTGTTGTCGCTTACATTCACAACAGACTAGGCCTTGTAAGCACCTACTTGTTCGAATTCTTGGAAGATAATTGGAACCGATCGAGCAGTCATGAGTTTAGAGAGATTTGGAAACAATCGGTTGGTATAGCAGTTTGGTAACATTTCGCTCTTGGCACAAGGGCTTCGTCAGACCACGTGAAATTGGAGTGGGATTTTATAGCGAACAGGATCTATAACCACATTTCAAGACCACCAAGAAACGAGTTTAAATACCAGGCAATAATAAGAGACTCGGTCGTGGCTGTGCATGTATTGGACACGGGTCGCCGGATAGACTTGGGAAACGTAGAGGTCATTGGGAGGGGGATACAATCAACACCTTAGCGGTTGATTGCCGAGGCGGTGGAAATTGCCAAATCTGACGACAGCGTGAATAGAATGCAGGGGGTAGAACACCTTAATGCGTAGCGAGCGATCATAAGCCGACCAGCCTGACGAGCATCGGTGCGTGGATCAGATTGGAAAGTACAAACCGACTTCAATTGCCAAACATATGGGCTTATCCGTCAATGCCATGACACACAAAGGAACATCTGGACTATTCCCACTGTGATTGAACGACCTGAAGTGACATCAAGAACGGTTACCGTAATGACACCTTAGCGCAAATCTCGGGTAACGTGGTTATCGCCCCTGTCCGCTATAAAATCCCACTCCAATTAGACACGATTCACCTGGTCTGACGAAACCCACGTGTCAAGAACGAAACGTTCCCAAACTACTACACCAACCGATTGTTTCCAAACCTCTCTGAACTCACCTACATGTTCTTCCGCGAATGAAGAGAATCAACATACAAAACAAATTTTCCCTTGGGTGCAATGTGTTTGCTGTTAGGGGGGGGGGGGTTCCAAGGGTGCAGGTGCTGCTACGAATAAGGTAAAGGATATTTCAGGTTTAAATGCAATGGAAAGGCATTTGTGCTCCCGAAACCCTTAAATTTGTGCTAGAAAACCCCCAGCGAATCTGTTTCACCAATTCCGCTTTGCGTTCGCCTGACTGTCGGTTGTTTGTGACCGTAGGGCTTCGGTAATAAGTAAGCGAATGCATGCTGAATTTTTAGTTCGGACATTTCGGCATTAATCCTCCAAAGGCGAGGCCATTATAGCTGCATGAAGCGAAACGTCAACATAAAGTATTAATGAACTGCTGTTTATAACTGGCATTACCTAACTGACGATGATGTATTTTGATCAGCGACTTATCTCAAAGATGCCGGAGGCAATTCCCATAGGTCCCGGCTATAAATAGAAACCAGCGGTGAACATGGTCTACTCAGCTGACGCTGGTACGCAGTTTACAGATTCAGGAGACGTAGAATCGATGCAACCACCAACGTAATTCTATTTGCTGATACGGATACAGATGAGGTTTCACAGCTGGCCAGCACAAAAGGTCAACCAATAGGTGCGGAAATATAGTAAAACATCAATGCAACAGTGATGTTACCTTGAGGAGTTCGGTTCGACCGATCAAATCATCGAGGGACCGCACACCGAAACGACTAAGGTACTCGCGCACCTCTTCAGCAAGCAAAAACAGGTAGTTGATCACATGTTCAGGGCATCCGGCGAATTTAGCTCGGAGCACTGGGTCTTGGGTTGCAATCCCAACGGGGCACGTGTTCAGATGACATTTGCGCATCATGGTGCACCCCAAAACGATGAGAGGAGCTGTGGACATGGCGAATTCATCAGCCCCGAGGAGAGCCGCGATAATCACATCTCGACCTGTGGAGAGATGAGACAATGGAACGGACAGCACTGCAATATCAACATCTACCGGGAAATCGATTGACACTTGGTGAAGACAAATGTGAATTCTTCGGAGGGTAAAACACGTCAGAAACGTCATGAGGAGAAACTAATGCGAACACTGAAGAGAGCACCTAATGGAGGAGGTAAACTGAGTAGCGATGATTATGTAAGCATATTTCCGAAGTAAGTCCCCACCGACACCACTAACCGATTGGAAACTTTCTCGATAGTGAGGAGAAAGAGAGGTCTTGATCACAAAAATGAGAAACACACAGAGGTGCGTGTCGGAGGCAGTGTGAACGTGCTAACAGATGCCTCACGGATGACACCAAGCAACTATGAAGTGATGAAGTCATGGTACCCTCTGACCTTGCTGTGCAAGGCACGTAAGTTGCATAAAAATCAAAAGTCCACATGCACTGCAAACAAATTGTCAAAATGGCCCATTCTATCAAATTCATAATGTTACAAAAGGGTCGGCGGGTTAGCAAGGGTAGACGACGAGGAGGCAAATGTGTCCTATATTTGGTGTTAGCGATACGACGGAAAAAAGTTGGCAACCAATTTATATGAAGTAGTAGTAGTAATAGTAGTGGGAGTAATAGTAGTAGTAACAGTTATAGTAACATTAACAATAATAATATAGTAGTAGCAGTAGTGCAGTAGTAGCAACCATAAGGTCACCGGTGCGAATCCGCGTAGGGGTGGGCGTCTAGGCGGTACACTCAGCCCGCGCGCGACTGGTGTTGGCCCTGCGGCAGCGAAGCACCGTTACGGTGTACAGCTGACACATTATCATTAGTAGTAGTAAGCTTCTGGTTGCACTTCCAGTTGAGACTGGGGACAGCCACACACAATCCCTAGTGGGACCGCGGCATAGTTTGAGGTAGGCCGCAGTCATCTTGCATAAATTGAAGAAGTAACCACCGTGTTGAGAAAAGGCCCATTTCCGGCATAACACTTGAAAGATCTAGTCAGATGCATCGCAGGTGAGGCTTGAGCCAGTGATCTTATTGCTGTCACGTGAATATCTTAAGGTACTAGGCTGACCGGGCCTTAACAACAACGATTGTACCGGCGAGTACGAAACCAACCTAGGTTGAATAATCTGGTGTATGTGTGCATATGCGGGGATTGTTAGAAAACTAAAGCCAAGGAATTCGCTGTGAAGTGAATAAACGTCGCAACGCGCTCAGATTGGTTAGGATCCGTGGAAGAAGTCAGTTTACGAAGGCGCAAGCGCTCAGCCATCTGCGACCATTCGCAGAGTAGGGAGGGCTATTTTCATGAAACTGGTCTCCGCCTCTAGTGCAAGCCGCGACGCAATTCTTGTTTGCTTTGAGGAGCAAGAAATGCAATTGGAAATCGAAGTACCGGACCCATGGTTGCTTACCGGTGCAAGAAGTAAAACGCTCGTTAGGCGGAAACCTATACCTTTCTGGGAACCTGACTTGCCATCAAATTTTGAGTGAAACGGCAGGTATGCAGCGAAAGTTTTCCCATGATAGAGACGGTCTTTGCGGATGATTGTTTATCGGAACAACAAGCAAGAGTCATTTTTCAAGACCGTGAAGGGATCAGCAATGAAGCCCAACCTGGAAGGCCAAAATGAGCAAGCCAAAGATAAAGACCATACTCATTGTTCTTTTTGTGACATCAGGGGACTCGTTTCCCACGAATTTGTACCACAACGCATAATTCTACGTGGAACTGCACAATAGACTCAAACGAAGGGTTCATCATGTCCAGTTCGACAATGCGGACGAATGGAAACTTCACCATAACAACGCGCCGGCCCACACAGCCCTCCTAGTGATCTGCTTTCTGGCCGACGGCTTTCCAACCATCCTACACTCCTGATTTGTCTCTCCTAGACTTCTTATCCTGCCGTTTGAAAATTCCCATGAAAGGAGATTGTTTCGGGACATTCGACAAAGTTTAAGAGGCTTGAACCATAGCTCTGAAGGATATTGCAGAAAAAGCCTACCGTTACTCTCCTGGTGCCTGGAAATCCCTCCGGAAGCGATGTATCAACCCAGGTGGGGCCTATTTTGAAACCTTTTAATGTGTCGTACCGATCGGATCCATAAATGTTTTGAATCGACCCACCGATATGAATTTTCGGACAAACATGTGTGTGTGCTGTTAACGACAAGCATCCGGTAGTGTTCTCCGCGTATGGCAGGGAAAGAGATACAACCAAGAAAGAAGACACAGTTCAACCGCACATCGAAAGCCAGAAGTACGCAATGTCGACGAACAGTAAGGTAGTTCAATGCGTCCACATTCAGCTGTGAACCGTCGGATTGATGGAAAGGTAGCATGTGCTTTGTTTATATTAGTAAAAAGTCGTCGCACCAGTTGGGATGATCGACTTAGAATGACTTCGCAACAGGGGAGGGACAAGGTATATAAACAAAACTAACACATTGCAACATGGTGGAATAACGGCAGCTCCAGACCGCAAAGTAAATATGCCCCTATTAATCCGGGTCAAGGATTGTAGCATCCTTTACCGCGCTACACTTGACCGTGTGACAAATAAGAGGTCAACGACACGCGGCCCCTGTGTGCAGCAGCGCTGGGGCTTGAATAGTGTGACCAAAAGGAGTTTGAGTGGAGAGACTTACCGGTACGAATTTGACCGTCGACTTGCAGTATCACTCGAGATCTAGTCCGCTGGTGAATTAGTATCTGATGGGTTTCCGCGATGCCCAATTCCCAAGGTAAGCCGGCGTGCTTGATGCCGGTCCAACTGCTGGCTCCCGTACCGCCGTCGTGGCCGGAGATGGTGATGTGCATAGCGCGAGCCTGAAACAAGATGTACTCGAATGTGAACGCATGTAAAGGCAATATGGGGTATCGTGTGAGCTGTTAAGGGGCAAATAATGCCTGGGACGTCATTGTAAAATCAAAGTGCTGCGTATGGGTCTAATTAAACTTAAGCATAAATTATGTGTGTGAAGTGGTAGAATGCTCCGATTTAACTCTTCCAATGCCAGTCGAATTATTGAAGGACAGCCTATGCACTGAGAACATCGGTTTCCAATTCCAAAACATTCCTTACCGCCAGATAGATGGGGTGACAATGGGTAGTCCGTTGGGCCCAGTGCTAGCCGAGTTTTTCATGTCGATGTTTGAAACGAAATCGAGTGTAGAAATAGTGCTTCTTTCCTACTATAAGCGGTATGTGGATGAGATTTTAGTGTTTAGCTCATCAGTCTGGTCGATCGCCTGAATAACATGCATACGAATCTGAAAGTGGCCAGAGAAAAGCAATTGCCTTGTATATCTGGACGTGTTGATTTGCCGAAGAGCAGATAGGTCTATCAAAAGAGAGGTTTACCGAAAGCCGAATTGATCAGGGCAGTACCTGCACTTCACCAGCTTCTCCCCAATGCGGTGCAAGCGGACCTTAGTCAAGACACTATTCAACCGTGCAAGCAAAATATGCACTACCGACAGTTTAGACGAGGAGATAAACTCGTTCAAGGATACGCTGTTGAAAAATGCCTATCGAAGAAGATTCATCGACAAACATAGGCGAGGGTGCAGGGACAGGTTTCGACAGTGTCTAAAAAGAAGGTCTACATCGAGCTACCATTTAAGGGTAGTTTTTCCAATATGAGGACAACGAAGCGCATAATTTCCGCAGTTCAGAGGACTTATTATGCTACTGAAAATGCTCTTATCGACCGGACTAATAGAATACCTGTTTCCCAAATGACGGAAAGCCAGCCCTATTGGCACCAACTCACATTGTATATACCAATTTACTTGTAGTTGTGGTATACACTGCATCAGCCGTACCAATATATCGTTGAACTCCCGAATAAAGGAACATGTACCTAAATGGTTGCAGTGTCAAATCACCGGCTGCACATACCACCAGTTCATGTAAGCCACCTGCTTCATCCATACGTAGGCATTTACTGGCCACCTGTCATCAGTTTGATCCGGCCAAAATGTTTGCAATCGTGTTAAGACATGCGAACCCCATTTCCTACGTTTCGCGATCAGCCGTATCAAACCCGTACTCTGTGTACAGAAACAGTTGTTCGTAAGCCTACGGCTGCCCCGAGCGTAGGGGTGTCATGCCTGCCCCCTACCCGGTTCTAACTTGTTCCGGTCTCACCCTACCTGTCGTCTTACATATCTTCATGTTATTGTGTTAGCACTGAAGAGACAATACGAAATGTTGACATCTGGCAGTGTTCGTCTTTTAACGGCTTTATTGAAAAGCAGGAACGTTCGTTCAGTAAAGTCTCAGTTGGACAAACGACGTGGGAAATGAAGAGAGATCAAACCGTCAGACTTCAGTTGGTTTGGTGGCCAAACAGAGCTAGCAACCTTGCAGCTCAACCCAGTCATATGCAGCTTCGGTAAACCAAAATGCTAAGGTATGGGGTCAGCAAGAGGATGTGGACTCTTCATGCTTCGCAAACGATCGAGTGCTGAGGTAGAAGCTTCGAATTAAGCGAAAATGTTGACGATCCCATCAGATATTAGTGATTCGCCATGGACGAGAGAGAAGTAGCGCACCGACACGCACAGTAAACACCGGCCCGTGCATATGAAACCTCGGCTTCTCAAAACGCGCTACCGACTCTGTGGTGAGACCGCAGTCCTAGTCAAGATGGCTGATATGTATGAGAATTAATGTATTCAAAGTTCGGATTTGCCACGTCACCACCACGTTTTCAGCAGATTCAAAGAACGCGGGCTTGGTCACCATGTACGGATAATGGGTTTGATTTTTAAAGTTCCCCCTGCATGAATCCAACCAGATTGGAAGGATCCATCATGATGTGTAAGATAAAACGGTTTGAAAAATTATGACGGAAAAATTCTGCGTTATGATAAAGGTGCACAAACCTATAAGAAGCAAGGTAAGTAGACCTTAAGTGAGGAACGCACAAATCGGACGCCCAAATTTGGGTAAATGTACATGAGGATAATTGGAGGCTTCTTCGCAGTAGATTCGGAATAACAGTCTTTAAAAGGTCCAGAAAGACACTAGACGGCCGTACCTCTTACCGGGACTCGTAAATAGTCGCATTCATCGGTTCTACTAAGATCCCGACAAGTTGAGTGGCCTAGAGGCGCTGGGAAACCCCACGCGCCATCGCCACTTAGGCGTACGGCGAATCCGAGGGGATGGAGAGGGCAAATTCATGTGATTTCCGTGACATGATGCTGTTGATTAAGGACAAGTACCGCATTTCGCTTGCGTCGACTCCTCACTACAATCAAAACCTGTGCCCTGCGATGTCTACCAAGAAGTTTTGTGAGTTCAGCCATTGCCCAGCGTTGGCACAATGTACCACAAACATCAAGAGACGACAGAGGTTGCGATATGTCAACATTTCGATTGTTCTCTTCAGTCGCAAACCCAACACGAGCAGAAACACACAGAGGATTATATACATGGAAAAAATAAGCGGCACCAATCAACATGTCACAGTCAAGACCATGGCAACCGAATTGATTGTCTCAAAAGTTTCTGTACACATAGCACAGGTTGATAAGTCTTAATTAACAAGGCCTCACTAATTGCCAGCATTATGGGCTTCTGTTACGTAATAACACTTTGAACGCTGTCCGGTCCGCCCTAACGCGCACCTACATGACAGCCCACGCGAGCACTTGTTCTTCATAACTGTCAGAGCATCTCGTCGGGTAGTTCGGCCTCTCAAGTTGTTTATCAGTTCACCTGCGGTTGCGGTGACATTTACGTAGGCAGAACAAACCGTCAGTCAGCTCAGAGAGTAACTGAACATTTGCCAAAGTGGATGGGACAAGTGATTACGCAACAACATGGGACGAATCTGAGAATTAATCAGAGCCCGGCATCGTCTATCACAAAGCCCCTCATGGCAACCCTTCATCATGTGAACTCCGAGACAGCGTTCAAAGTGTTATTACGTAACAAAAACCCGATCACACTGGCAATTAGTGAGGCCTTGTTAATTAAGGCTTATCAACCTGTGCTATGTGCACAGAAACCCTTGCGACAACCAATTCCGTTGCCATGGTCTTGACTGTGACATTGTGATTGGTGTTGCTTTTTTCCATGTATATAATCCTTTGTGTGTTTCTGCTTGTATTGTGTTTGCGACTGAAGAGAACAATCGAAATGTTGACATATCGCAACCTCTGTCTTCTCTCTGCCCTAACGAAATGGCTGAAGGGGACCCACTGTTTTACTTTTATCAAGAGACGAGTTGCGAGCCACCACCTGAGATGTTAGAAAGATAGTAGAGTCGTAGTGTACCTTGTGGGGATCACATGAGGTCTCAAAAGGCGAGCGGTTTCGATGGTGTACGCAGCAGGAGACAGCTGTGGACAGCCGAATGCAAATGCGAACGGTTCTAAATGCCAAAGTATCAGAAGTTGTGTATGAAGAACAGTGGACTTACAACAGACCGGGGTCGGATAAACACGGACAAAAAGACAGGAAAGTCACAAACTGTTCCAAGAGAAGAGGAATTGCTGTGAAGAGATCTCTTTTCAATAATTCTCCTCAGGCATTTACAATTATGAGAAAAGTTGATACAACACGATAAGCTATCTAAAGATGCAGTAGTGAATGGTTAGGTCACAGTTTGACGGAAGGTAAATGAGAGAGCAACTGGGGCAACGCTAACTGGAGGAATTAACAAGTACTAGTCAGACAGACGCAACGTCCTTGACCTCTGGGTAGGGTGTTGGAATCAGCGACATTCCAGCATGTGAGAATCGAATACCCTCGAGTTCCCCTCATGTTTCGGATAAGTTTTGAGACAAAGACCATGGATGAGGGCTCTAATCCTTCTCCTGTCTAGACGAGTGTCCTGACAATAGACTAGCCAATATGTAATCAAGAAATAGCCTTTTATGTGAGGGAATGTCTGTGCAAGATACTGGTACCCCGTCGCCGTTAAACGTGAAGATCAGGTAGTGAATTGGGCATGAAGTTGAACGGTCGCAGTTACCGTCCGCTTGGGTTACCAATAACAGATACGGTACGATATTTGGAGTATGGCCGTACTCCTGAAGTTGAGGTGTCTGTGATAATCCCTGTCAGTAAGAGGGTAAGTCGTTCAATTTCCACTTGGAACGGAAAATAAGTGCCACCAACCAGTTCCTTGGACTAAGGTTCGCTACGGCAAGGCGCAGTAACAAGCTGAACACAACACATGGATAGTTGGAGAACAATGCGAGCCGTACGGCAGATTGTCTTGAATTGGTCTTAGTTGGGAAACAGAAACAGTAAAACTCAACAACCATATGGGTGGAGGTGAACTTACTTTAGCCACACCAGCAGCAACCACTCCGACGCCTACCTCGGAAACCAGCTTAACACTGATTAACGCGAGCGGATTGGCACACTTCAAGTCGTAGATAAGCTGAAAAATAGGGGTAGAAGGAGAATTGCTCTTTGTGACACAGCCGGTGGTATAAGAAGTATTTCAACGGTGATTGCAGTAGGCACACAAATCGCCCATATTAGAAAAGGAGAGAAATGGAGAGTTGATAGCGCTTCAAGCATATGCACTAGAACCAAGTTGCGATCAATAAGTGAGAGAAGGTGAATGGTCGCTCGAGATGAAGTGGAAGTTACAGGCAGATAGCTGCGATGGGAAGAAAATGTACTGATGGGGCGGGGCCTCTGATGCATTCATCTCGCAGATAACGCAGTACCTAAAGGTTGCGGACAAAATATAAACAAGAAAAAGACCAGAGCCCGGTGGTGACAAAGCGGACAACTAGGAAAGAACCCGTTGACATCGAAATCCAATGAAAATAGGATTGTTGGCCTTTACCGGTGGCATAGCCCTACGGTTGTATCGCTGAGCTATTCCACATTCGGAGTTACAATTGGGTCAGAAATAATTCTGCTCCAGGACAGTAATTCTGGGGCAATATGTTAATACTGACTCCTGAATCCAAGTAAAATCGCACCGGCTGACCTTAAATGAGCAGCTACAAATTTGCTGTCTGAGTTCTTCCATGTTATTGATCAATAATTTTTTCGGTCTCTGTCGACTGCCATTGTCTAGCAAATTGATGTTGGCAGATCGGCAGCAACATGTGTAATGGTCCTTCCTGAAACACTTCATACGAGTTCTGTCTCATGCTGAACGATTCTGGCAATATCGCAGTTAGGTCTCAATCCATGATGGTTTGCTATCGTTCCCCTGTGTCAGTGGCATAAGATGTTGGTTTGTGGTGCTACTAACGGCCAGGGGTTTGATCACCTGAAGGGGACCGAAGGAGTGTGCAACACTGACGAGCCCCAATAGGGCAGAACGATCGCCTGGTGCTTTTCTGGATTGTTAGTTGACTTTGCAGATTGTGATCTAATTGTGATGAGCCAACTATACCTTAACCAATCCATCTACTCATAAGTAATTAACTTTTCATTTTGCGTGCACACGACTGCGAAATTGGCAACTTTGTTCCCGTCGCTCCAACGTCTGCGACAAACGCTTTCAATTCTAGAATATTGCAGAGTTTCGTCGTTGTATCAAGTACGAGCTGTTGAGTCTGTTTTGCTGTCCTTGCCTCGTTAAGATAGACGTCGATGCACAACCACGTTTCTCTAATGCAAAAGAAGCTTGTCGGCTCGCATTTTCTTATACCAATCACGACCCGTAAGCAATCGCAAAAATTGCAAGTTCACGCCAGAATTTTCAGCTCGGTGATATAAACCTCGAACGACTCACCAGATAAACGATTGCGACCAAAGTACAGGTATGTTTGGCATGTTTCATCCGATCGAGCAACACAGAGCTCAGCAAATCTGCGTACTACCACTTGATCGCCATCACTGAGATACAACGTTTCTCCAATGCTCGCCTCGCTTCAACACCAATAACGTCATTACATATGGTCATTTAGTAGGGCATTGACTGAGCATCTAACTGGGTCAGTGTCACAAAGTCCATCTGCGGTGTCTTCCTCACGCTCCAGTTGTCGAGTAGCGAGCTTTCTGTCATCTGCAGCGGGGTTGTCAAGGGCATCGACAGTTATCCATCAAAACCATGTCGAGATAGCCCTCCGAGAATTAAGACGAAGACCGGAAAGCGATCCAAAATTCCTTCGTTGAAGAACAAAAGATTATTACTTTTCATATATTTGAATCACTATTTTACTGAAACGCATCGCTAGCCATTTACACGAGTCCACTGACTCGTGCTCATCGCTCAGTCGAAACTGTTTGCACTACCCTTATCTTGACTGGAACGAAGTTACGCTTTGTTTACAACACCCCAAGGGAATCGTTCATTCGGTCCCTACGAATGTGCCTAGTTTGCGCTGGCGGTGCTGATTGGCTTTCCATCTGAAAGGCTCCGTCTGTTCAACTCGCTCGGTTGAGCAGCTGCCATAAAAACCATGCGCCTTCCGCTCAAGCTCAGCGGCGACGAGCAAGTCCCTTGCCTTTGTCCGGAACCGAAACTGTGCTCGATTCACAAATACTGTTACCCAGTTCCTCATCCGGCCTGTGTAATCGTGGTCACTGTACGGTTGCGGTGCTTTCCAGTCCACTGGTCGAGCGTAGGTTTCGCTCACGCAACCTGTCAGCTAATAGCACAGGATTGTCGCATCGTTTATGGTTCTTACCATTTTACTGATAAATTCTTTGTTCTTTGTTTTTGGCTAGCTCACACTTATCTGTGGTCCGCTATGCTCACCTATCATGGATATTAATCCCATACAAGTTTCAAAAGTCTTCCGCTACATGATCCACGCACAAATATTGTATGCGTCGAAGCGTGCAATTCCGCCAAGCATACCTGAAGAAGTAAGCTTTAGCAAATAGCAGCAAATGTGTCCAGCTTGCGTTGAGGTGAAATATAATGCGAACATTATTATTATTATTATTATTATTATTATTATTAATATTATTATTATGACACTAAAAAGCTTATTGTAACTGAGTATAGTTGTCGACTTTAAAAGCCAGGCAGAAAGGCATCAGCAGCAGGCCGGTACGCAGTACCGACGTTTCGCTGCCGTGCAACCACCACCGGTCGCACGTTGGCTAAGGATGCTGCGAGGTTCGCCATGTCCCTACGCAGGCTGGTACCCGCACCGTCAGATTACAAGACAAGCTAGTTAGCTTTAGGCTACGGACCGGCTCTGTGAGGTTCAGCACAATAATCACCATACCTGCAACACTTCTTTGATTTCGATGTACTCATGAGTAGGGGATTTTTGATGTAATTAAGTGATGTTCTTCGCAGCCAGTTTCCAAATCGGATAGTCGTCCACTGTTAGTGGAGGATAAGACGCGCTATATCGTAGTTAGCTTGTAAATCATGACTGTCCGAAGCTGTCCCCCGTGGCCCAGTGCCATAAGCTGCTGACTGGCGGTTCAAGCCGCTGGTGGTCATGGGTTCGAATCCTGATGGATTCGATGGATGCGCACTACTGATGAAACTGCAGTCTAGTGCTTTTCCGGGCATGTGAACGACTATCTGATTTGGAAACTGGCTGCGAAGAACCTCACTTAATTACTTCCTTAACTTGCTGACTACAGTCATGAATAGTCCTTTTACATTACCGCTTTCACTAAGGACAAGCATTTCTGAAATATTACTTATGAGTAAAAGGATTTTTGATGATATTTTGCTGGTTCATCCCGGCCGCTCGTTTCGCTTTATTGGGGCTCGTCAGCGGTGCGCATTCCTTCGATCTCGTGCTGTGGATGGAACTCACTGTCGCCATCAGCTTACGTCACTGAGCCGTCGGGGACTGACGCAGACCATCTTAAATAGTCTGCCAGTAGAGACTGAAACGAAGAAAGATTTCTGCTTCGATCGCTTGTTTGCATTACAGGAAAGGAGGTTAGCAGTTATCACTGGCATACCTCATTGACAGATCACAGAAGAACATATACGGAGTTATCAGCAGTTATATGTACTTTATCAACTGTTATTGCCTCATTTCACCTGTGTTAGTCCTCTCGAACATTTGAATTGTTTATTTTCGAGCTACTTTTGGCCCAATCATGTGTATAGGGAGTAAACTTCATCAGGCGGGCTTTATCACGATAGAATATTCGATAGTCAACAACCGAACACATGCAACTGTGTACCTGGGCCAAGTCCTCAATGGAGTAGATGTCGTGGTGTGGTGGAGGGCTGATCAAACCGACGCCGGGCACCGAGTGACGCGTACTCGCGATCTCTTCGGTCACTTTATAACCTGGCAGCTCGCCACCTTCACCGGGTTTGGCACCTTGGGCCATTTTTATCTGCAGCATGTCCGCGTGGGCCAGGTAGGAGCTGTTCACGCCGAAACGCGCTGAAGCGACCTGGAAAAGTACGGAACGAACAATGGCAGTAAACGATGAATTTGCGTTGTTTGGAGTTCAGAAGAAGGACGGCAATGAAAAAATGAGCATGCGATCGTTCAACAGAAGACGCAGTGCGTGTGGGGAGAATAATGGGAGAACCGTAGTCAGCACTACACAATATGTAGGAACGCACACCAGCCGTCGGGGAGTTAACGAATAGACCGGGCTGCATCATTTGTGCGAGGTTAGTTCATATTTGCGGCAAATTAAAACCACCTGGAATGAATTGCGGCGCCTCGATGGTTTTGCAAAGTTTGCATTTTGTATCTTAACGGTTGCTAGATGTTTTCCCCCAAGACGCAGCGAGGTAGCCCCACAAAGGCGAACAAGTGACCGAACGGCAGTCGAATGCAACTGACTAATAGGGTACATCGATGCACCGTCACTGAATTGGTGTTTCTGTAAATAGAGTAAAATGCAACGTGACACAACGAACAAACGAACAAAAGTGAGGTCGTGGATTTCGGTGTTGCTCTCTCCCATGCCAGAACCTCACGACCGACCGGTTTCGTTCGGAATTGGGCTCGTCAGATGGAGATAGCTTGAGCTGAAAAGGACACCCGACACACTGTGGTTGACGGCTTTCGTCTTGGTCACTAAGCCAGAGCTCCGCAGCAGTTAGAAGTTCATTATTGAGTCTTGGAGTACCCACCATGGGTCTGGATTGCGACACGCAATCTCAATCAAGGCTACAGTTTGCTTTAAAGCAAACTTAGACCATTTCGACTAATGGGATCGTATCCGAAGTGGAGAGAAGTTCGGAACTGCTCTGTCCCAACACTACATACCACAACCGACCGGTTTACTCCGGCTTTGTACTCATCAGGTAGCGATAGCTTGAGCTGCGATCGGAACCCGAAGGTGGTTTATGGATTTAGCTTGGTTAATAAGCTAGAGCTCCACAACAACGCTTGACACAGCGGTTGATTGTAGCCATGACACACGGCAGGTACTCCAAAATCCCGCAATCAAGTTCTAACCGCTATGTCAAGCGTTGCTCGCGGAGCTCAATGGCCTACTGACCATGGCGATAGCCGTCAACCACGATGTGACGAGTTCCGCTGCCAGATCAGGCTATTTCTACCTGATGAGTCCAAATCAGGAGTAAACTTGGAATTTGTGCCCCAGTGATCGGAATGGCATAGACTGACTTTAAAGCGAATCGTGACCACAAGTGAGACCACGTGTCGAGATCTAAGACACACGGCGGGTACTTGAAAACTAGGTAATCAAAAGTGAAGTCGATCTATCAAAAGAGAAGGCTACAAAGTTCACAAAGTAAAGTGTGTCAGTGACATTTAGGCATAGGAACAGCGGAGAAGTAGGTCTCTCACTTGTTTGATGGACGAGCGGAGTTCCCTGTTCAAATACCTCTCGGGTCTTTCGCCACCTTCGCCTGTGTTTGAACGCGCACCAATCTTGTTCATGGCCACAGCCAACGCAGTATGTGCCTCGGAAGATATACTCCCCAAACTCATAGCCCCTGTGGATGGAAAAGGAGGCAGTGGCAAGAACTTTTGTCTGAACTATTCACTATTAACAAGGAAGGAAAATATTCTGAGTGGAAAAGCGGCGTTACGGACAAGCATGGTCAATGGGGTCAGATTAGGTGTAATCATCTTGAAAACAACAGTCAGGTGACTCAAAGCAAAGGTTTATCTCCAAGCCAACTGACAATATCAAGGGCGTACGACCAAAAACAACCACTTTCTGAACTGTGTGAGTAGCTTCCGAACCCGTCTATACCCATGTGGTATGCCTTGCTCAGTTTGGGCCACAAAGCACAATTGTACAAAATAACTCTATCCGGACGGTTCGAGTTTCAACGCACTGGAATCGAAGCAACGTGTCTATATGCCCCTGAGTGACGTCGTCCAAGGGATGCCTCTGGGCATAGTATGATAGATATCACAGGTAGTATCAGTTAGGCGTAGTTACCCGTGATCAAACTAGAGGTCGATGTGTAACGGACTCGGCGTCGCTGTCGTTACAATTAAATACTGAATACTGTATGGGGGAGCAAGTAGAAATATAAATCTGTACAACCATCACAAGATAGACAAAAATAGTATAAAATGTGTCTGCACTCCGTGATAATCGAATTGTTCAACAAACTCTTTGTAGCATTACAGAATATCTGACTTACAGTTTCATAGATTTCGCAAATGCAAGATGTCGTTGCTACAGTCCAATCGAATATGGCTGAGATGTAAATCCAACAACGTTTTGAACTGTTGTACAGATTTAGCCCCCCCCCCCACGACTTGTTCTGGTAGAATGTCCTAAACATTTACGACTCTTCGTTCGAAGCACAGGGGGTGGGGGCAATCGTTTTATATCCGGTACCAGAAGCTTGTAAGAGTATCCGCGTGTGTTGCATGCTGTTCGCAAATGAAGCAGCGACTTCAACATGGGGAAGTCACCGAGATGTAATATACGGTAGGTCATGATGAGATCGACTCGCACCCGACGATAGGACAAGGTGTAGAGTGCGAGTTTCTAGCACCGGTCTTCGTACCATAATTCCCGTAAACCTGTAATGAGCCTGGTAGCGAAGTGTTGGACCCGTTCGATCTTCTGTGCCTCGCCTCGGGTGATTGGACAATGAGGTGAGCCGTACTCCAGTACTTGTCTAATGATGGAAGCGAAGAGGCGAGTGGCGAGCCCCTTCAGACCAAGTACAGAAGCTGCGTTTGATCGCTCAAAGTATGCGCAGTCCGTTAAGATATAGTCTGTCCATGTTGTCAGTAGACTTCAAATCGCACTGCGAGTGTACACCTAGGTCATTCACGGAAAGTGTGGGATGTAGCGGTTGGCCGTCAATGGTGTAGATTCGGCGATCACCACCCTTCCTCAAGCTCATAACTACTGACTTGGATGGGTTGACCGGGAGACGGACTTCCGCAGACCACATGAGGAGGCGGTTGAGGTCGTGCTGAAGTAGGCTGTAATCGTCTGGGGTGCTAATTTCTCTCCAAATCTTCAGGTCGTCCGCTAACAGAGCACACGGCGACCGAAAAAGCTGAGGTAGATCGTTGATGGGGATTAGGAACAGAGTGGGCCCCAGCGCCGTGCCTTGGGGTACACCACTAGTAGAGGGATCCCAGTAAGTTAGAGGACTGTTGACCTGTACCCTACGATGTGCTCAGGTGATAGGTTTGAAGAAGTGCACGTCCTCGCACGTCGCCAACCTAGCTGATGATCCAACAAAGATGGTAACCATATGTCATGAAGGATTGTTGCACTGCTTCTTGGTAAAAATAGGCGAAGATAGTGGACGTATCGTGAAACGTGTTAGGACTCCGTTATCACCCGGCGATTGTCTGATATATTTGCTCTCGCAAATTCTACTGGGTACCGATCTTTCGAGAACAAGGTAGCATAAAATGAGCGCATCTTTACTGTGCCATCAGACCGATACTTTTTAGTGTCCAAAAGCCAGTTAAATTGACTTTCTCATCACGGAGTCGAATAACTTTCTAAGTACTGCTATGTAAATCAAAAATTCTCAATGTAGCAGTCGTTATCATTGTAAAACGCAGGTATAAATCCGATTGAAATCATGCACAAAAACGCGACAGCGTACAAGCTGAAAGTTGCCATATATGGAAGTTTACCGGGGCATCGCTGGCCATGAATGCAGAAATATTAAGAGATGTGTAGTAGGCAGGCAGATTCCGGTTGGAAATCTAGTTTGCATATGGCGCGTACCACTTTCATTATTGATCGAATGGATAGAGAGATGGATAATGTCGAAAAACAGGCCTCCCACTGTCACACGACTTGCTGAGAATGGAATTGCTACCGAAAAGTAGAATGCGCATTTAATTATGCGTCTGTCTGACAAAATAGCCATGATACAAACTGATGGTTCTACCTAATTAAGTGAGTGCGTGTTCGGACAGGTGTAAGATTTAGAAGAAAAATGGGGCTAGCAGTTGAACATACCTGTCGAAAACCGTCTTAAGATGCTTGTGGCCGGTTCCACTAAATCCAGGGCGATGGGCTCGCTGGCGTACTGCAAATCAAACTGTCCCCTGAGAGTGCAATAACGGGCACTGCGATCAGCCGCTTCCACGAACATTTTGTAAGCCTGTCGGCTATTGGTGCGAGAGGCTGCCTGGAAACGAAATGGAGAAAACAGCTACAAATCGGGTCTTGTTCTGTTGCGTAATTAAACTAGCAACACCATTATTCCATCGGAGGGGAAAAGCGACACAGTTATAGGAGAACAGAGATGATTGTCTGCAGTGGTTATGCAAGGTGGAAGCGGAAATGAGGGCTGGACATGCGGGTTTCGCTAAGCCAGATTAAGTAAAAATTATCGGAACACATGAAGGCGTAATCGCTACAAAGATCGGAAACAACGCGGGAGTATTAGTTCCGACTGGCATCGACAAGGTGTTTGAGATCCCTGCAATGCAGTGTTGAAAATGAATGATGCCACCCCACTTCTGATGTGGTCCCAGTAATCGGAGTGACAGACGTTCGCCTCGAAATAATTTGCGGTCCAAAGAAGGCTTGCGCATTCCAAGCCGGACATGCTAAATGTGCTGCGGAGCCAAATGCCAACTGGGGTCACATATAACATTTTTCGAGTGGTAAACATTGATGTTCAATACTTACCGCAAGATCCCGGTGAGCAAGTTAAACATCAGTAATCGACCCCCAGCCATCAAAAAAACCAAACGGATGCATTAATAAATGATTATAAAGGATAGCCTGTCTTTCTGTCTGTCAGGGAAATAAATGTCAGCGCAATACTGGGAGTAGTAAACACCAAAAAACTGTCTCTACTTCGAGTGCGGTTTCATCGATCACCGAGTAACAGGTCTAATTCGAGATGAAGTTTGGTTCAAACTGAGATTGCGCATTGCAATCCGCCACACACGGGGCCGCTACTTCAATTGCGAACAATGAACAACGAAAGGCATGTCAACACCAGAAAAGGTCATGCACCGGTTGCATGCAAACATTGTATGGGCAAAGTGACCGGGCTATGATGTGCCCACATTTCCGAGTGCAAGAATCGCAGGAGGAACTGTGCAGCAATCCAGCCACGAGAACGTATGCAAGCTTACCTATAACTGGTCAGATGTGCCAGTTAATTACACCGGGCACAGATTCAACAAGGTTTACAAAGTGTGGAGGTCGCAGGAAGCTGTTGCAGAGACCATATGGTTCTGAAAAAACCGCCTCGAACGTCTTGTTCCAACCCGAAATTCCCCATATTGTTGAGGCAGGATGATTAGGTAATGCCTTGTGGGTGACAAGGTTATAAGATGACAATTAGATTCGTGATCGTCCCAGATACACCGCTGTCAGGTCATCGACTGCGTGATCCCTCAGTGATATCGTTTATCCATGACAAACACTTTCGTCAAGCATACATCAAACAATGGGTTTCATTTCACATCGGTTCTCTTAACGTCCGCACTGTCGGTCAGATCGTTCAACAGGCAGGACCAGCCCTCACTTTTCACTCTCTTGGTATGGATGTGTGTTGTGTCTCCGAAACACGCACACAAGATAACAACATTGTGACGAATCTTCCAATTAAAACAGATAGTTCCCCTTAGTAACTTGAAAAGCACAATTAGAAGACGGTTCGGCAGATGCGTGCATTTTGTATCGTCTATCAGTGCCGATAACGATAATCAGTAATTTAATATAACAGTTTGTGGGTACGGACATACATACAAACAAACGCGAGAAAAATGGGGTGTCTTTCTTCTACAACCAGGGCAGCCTGAGGCTGACCGATAATTGTTTTTGCACATGAAGCACTGGCTTAATCCGATTAATGGCAATCACCGCTGCAAACCGGAGGAGCCGGGAATTCGTATGGCGAAGCAGGATTCTAAACGCCTTGTTGACTTCAATTCGGTGACCTGATGTCAATAAGTGCCTGCCGATCGAAGAACCTGGCGGCCTGCGCACACACATAGTCTGATTTGGGCTTGCTTGCTGAACAATCCCGCATTTTGGTACATGCACCTCTATTCGGGAACTCAGTCTTCTATTGATTTTGCCTATGTAACTATCTCCGCAGTTACATACGAATTGATATACGCAGTGGGAGTTGGCGCCAATAGTCTGAGGTTCCTTTAGTGGAGGCAACGGTAGTTTATGAGTTCGATCGATGATTACAACGTCGGCAGCACAGAAAGTGCTCTGTGTGACGGAAATCAGACGTCTTCTAGTCGTCAAAGAAGACATGTCACCCTTAAAGGGCAGCTCTAAGAATACCTTGTTCTTAGGCACAGTAGGTACAGCAACTTTCATTTCGCGGATTTCGCTGTGCTTTCGGATAAAGTTTCGAGGGTAGCCATTAGCAATTAACGTGTTGGTAATTAGTCCTAGTTCATCGGCTAGACAATCGGTCGAACATATATGCCTGGCGCGACTAAACAGGGTCTTCACAAGCGTTCGCTTGTGCCAAAGAATCTTCGATTCCTTGGTTTTAAATCTGCTGATAATGACTACATAGTTCCCGTCTCTGGCGTTACTGAGGCAATGGTTCAAGGTATTTACAGTGTTGGTATTGCCCTCAGAATGCATGATGAATGCAACCTACTCGACTGGATACCAGTGGACAGCCGCATATGTGCAGTTCGACTTCAAATGTCTATTGGAGCCAATAAGCACCGTTTAACACAAAGTGACTTTGCATCGCCTCTGTTTAGGCTCCTACTGATTGAAGTTCGGAGAGTAGCAAAGATGATTTCTATCACCAGCGAAAAATACTGACATTGCGATCGTTGCTGGTGACGTGAACGCTCCGGATGATCGTCTTTCAGGCTCCGAGTAACACTTGGGAGGCCGCTTTGGGGTCGATGTTGAACAGACGATGGCGTTGGATTACATTAACTGTGTGTCAACCAAAATCCTTATATTAAAAGCACAACACTTTGCCACAAACGGGTCACCTGGCGTCCGCTGAATTCCTCCATGATCTGGACCCACACTGACCATCCTGCCAACAGCCAGAGATAAAAATGGCATCAGCAGTAGGTCGGTATGCAATACGGACGCTTCGCTGCAGCGCAATCACCACACGCCGCATGTGGGCTAAGGTTACTGCGAGGGTCGCCCGATCCATACGCAGACTCGAACACGCGCCCTAAGATTACAAGGCAGGCATGTGATCCTTAAAGCTACGGGCCGGCAACAGCCACAGACGACGCACATTAGTCCAAGACTGTCAGTTTGGAGCACGTATCTGGATTCCGACTACGCTCTAGTGCGCACACGCATAGCGCTCACTCTTCACGCTTCAAAGAAGCGTTTAACCACCAAGCTTCTCATCTGTAACTTGAACTCGCAATCTACAGGTTAGCAATATCATGATGAACTGGCCCAGCATTTTTCAGTGATGAATGAGGTTGGTGAGCATCATAAATGCACCATCAAGAATGCATTCGAAGCCTGCTGTGCGCCCAAGTTGAGACGACCGAATAGTGTATAGATCTTTGAGCCATTGCCCAAGTTAATCGATGCACGTAGACTGGTTCCAATGGATACTGATTATCCCAGTGCCCGTAACATCCGGAAATCGCGACTGACAAGAAGTCCTCAAATTGACTGAGGTTAGTTGGTAGCAAGGGCCCGTGAAATGGAGAAAGCCAGTGCTATTGGGAACAGCCGGGTGCTGATACAGAAAATAAAAGAACACAGTTCCAATAAATCCATCAGCATCATCGACTAGCGTGTTATGCGGAATGTTTTGAAGAGCAATTCAGCAGAGGTGCTGTGGCATTGACGTTTGCTGAATCACCTGAGTCAAGGTGGAGAGAGATTCGACATGAGTTTGCCGTGTTAAACCGGATCAAAGCCCATGGACCCGACGACCTTCTTCCATCTTTGCTGAGTGATGGATGTGACTCTTTGTTGAGTGGACTTGTTGATCCATGGGACACGACTTGGGATACTGAAAAAATACTTTCAGACTGGCGATCATCAACCGCAGTGCACATCATCAAGAAGGGTTAGCGCTCTTTGTGCGAAAATCATCAAGGCATTAGTTTTATTACCATTGCCTCCAAACTTCTCACGCGTATCATTCTCCGAAGAATTACTGGTCCCCGTGAGGACCGAATCACTGAAAGTCAGGCTGACTTCCGCCCTTGCCGTGGTTGCATCGACCACATAGTTACCCTTCGTCAAGTTTTGGAGCAGACACTTACTGACGACCGACTACGGTGTTTTTCCTAGACTTGTAAACCGCGTCCGACTCTGTTGAGCGCGCCAGCTTGCGGCACTGCCTATCCATGAAGGGCGCGTCGGCTAAATTCCTTTCCGTTTTGCAGTCTCTGCACCGTGACTCCGGAGGCAGTGTAAGGGTATACGAGAAACTGTCTACTGACTTCTCCATGACAAGTAGGGTTCGCCAAGGTTATCGTATACCTCCTTTCCTTTATAACTTCGTTATCGAAATGATCAGGAGTGACTCAGGTCTTTCAAACTCTACCAGGGTGATACGTCTACCACGCGACCGACTGACAAACCTGGAGTATGCGGACTACATAGTTCTCCTTGGGTCTGACGCAGTGGCTATACAAACAGTACTGGATGGAATGATGCATAGCGCTGCACACCGGCATACGCTTTGCACTTTCAAGGTGCGAAGTACTGTCGCAGGACTGGACTGACACTACCGACTTTAGCCATTAGCGAATAGCCTCTAGAAGTAGTGGGTCGATTCACTTACGTTGATAGCTGTGACACCTCTGGCAGTCAGATTACTGAGGAGGTTAATTCGCGTAGCAGTAAGGCGGGTGTGGCTTTCCAGTGGTTCAACCATCTATGGGGACAACAATAAGGTAGGGTGTATCATGCTGCGATTAGCCCGGTGATCTGGCCAGTTCTCAGTGAAGGTGTTAAACAGCTGGCGGTGCTTGTTCACTGATGCTTGTGGAGCATTGCTCATATCTACTGGAAACACCGGGTAAACAAAGCTGAAGTCCGCCAGTTGGTTTTTGGCGAGAAACCCTATGGTGTCTCCCTCAAGTGTCTGCGCAAACTTACGCTAAGTTATATCCTCTAGCTGCCCGTGCATCGATTTTCCCGGCGTGCATTAGACACCGTCGATGCACCAAGTTGTTCGAAACAGCACCACGACCAGTTGATAATGTGACAGAGACATGAAGAAACAAACCGAGGGACTTGGTCAGGCTTGTGGGTACCGTCTTCGTAGATGGGGGCCCCGGGATGGTCCACACTCTAGTGATTAGGGACCCTAGCAGACATGTCGCAACCGCATAGTCAGTGGTGCTTCAGCATTCGGGTTTCCTGCATGTGGTTGTCAACTTTCCTGCCACCCTGATTACTTTTGCGCACTTCTGCCTTGATTCCATTTTCTTTGCTACTTAGCCGCGTTCAAGTTCATTTGCTAACCGCCGTTATTTATTGTTATTCTGGAGACAATAGTTGCAACAACTGTATTCTCAGCCCTTCGGTGCCCGGAACATTGTTGTTCAACTGAACTGAACTTTCGTCAACCGTTATCGGATAATAATTGTGTCAACCTGACGACTAACTTCGAATAACGACGAGACCAATCTTGTCACAAATATCAGACTATACAGACTGTGAGCCAGCTCTGGCTTTAACAGTAAGAGCGGTTCCACCATTGTCTTTTCTCTCTCTCGGGGGTTGTGAACATGCGTGCGATTTTTCTGTTAGTTTCAATGAAATGAGGTAGAAACTGTTGGGTGACTAAATCATACAGGCACGTCAATTCGAGTTTCATTGTTGGGTCTTGGATTACCCGCCGTGTGTCTGGATTGAGAAATGCAATCTCGATAGAGGTCGCGGTTTGATTTGTAGCAAATCTATGACATTTCGATCACTGGACCGCATCTGAGGTGAAGAATTCCGGAGCTGCAGTATTGTGAGAGAGAGCAGCTCCGTAAGTATCTGGGTCAATCCGAAATCCATCAGCCACTTGTTCGCACGGAGCACATCCCACAAGAGCCGAATCCTTCGCTCCGACCAGGACGCTGTACCCAAAGCGAGGAGTAAGGTGCACTGATCTGGGGGAACCACCCACACCTTTAGCTGCGGCCTGATGAACGCAAGACGTAGGTACACGAAAAGATATGTACTAAAGATCACGCACTGGCTTAGGTTCATCATCTCTGAAGTACCCAGATGTACGCAACCAACCACAAACTGAATCCCCTTTTGAAGTTTTAGTCGCTCGGTTGTGTGACATTGTGAACCTGGTCGTTCGCTGCTACGCAACCGGTCGTACAGCGTAGCTCTTCTTGATGGTGGTGGTGCCCGTGCCGGAGGTGGGATGGATAAGAAAAAAGCAGCAACTGTCCGCCAATAATAGTCGCAGTCCAACTTGTCCCTACACGATGCATGAAACACTCACCAAGTACGGGGATGTAGGGAAAGGAGTGATTCGCAAGGTTCACGTAAGTAGGTTTTGTTGGAAATTTAGGCGAGAGCTTCGAAAAGTGAGCTTATGTTCTTTAAAACCGGTAGTCTTTCGATACACAAGCGCAATGGGTTAAAAATACCGACAAAATTGAAAAAAACGTATATCCAAAGGAATGAGACACAAGCACACACAGAGCGACTCACTTGTAGCTTGGCCACAGTCTCCGGATCGTTCATGTGTGCCTCCCCACCCAGCCGCCAATGATAAAACCCAGGATTGTTGGCAAATTGATCGATGCTTTTGGGGAGCACATTTCCCTCTGGATAGGCGAGCAGATGGCGTGCATAAGACTCTCTGGCCAATATCTCGAAATCAGCCCCACCGATGCGACTGGCAGCGCCGTAGAAACATTTGTCAATAACACACTGAGCCAACCCAACAGCCTCGAATATTTGAGCGCTCTTGTAGCTGTGCAGAGTGGAAATGCCCATTTTCGCCATAACCTAGAGGGTGTATAGGAGAGTGTACAGAGGACGGATTGTAATGATTGGCCGCATCAACTGAGTAATCATACAAGGCAGCATGAAAACGAGGGACTTACTTTGAACAAGCCCCGACGAACGGCACCGGAAAAGTTTGTGTGCAATTTCTTCAAATCTGCACTCGATTTGAGCAAGAGGCCATCCGCGTCCAAACGTGCGACCGATTCGAACAGGAGATAAGGGCACACCGCATCAGCACCGAACCCGATGAGGGTGCAGAAGTGATGCACTTCTCTGCAACGGGGTATGAGAGAAGAGAGAGGGCAAAAGACGGTGGTAGTTAATGTGTGTATGGTACCGAAGACGGAGTGCGGTCGCACGGATATCGGAGCCTTATATCATAAAAGGACGGAATATACTGATGCGGTGACTCAGGATCGCTTGTGTGGATGGATGGTATCTGTGGATGTGTGTAGGCTCAAAGGCAACGGCAACTGGCGAAAGCAGTGTAGAAAGGAATCAACAGTAGGCCGGTACGCATAACCGACGCCTCATTGTCGCGCAACCACCACCGGCCGCACGTGAGCTGAGGATACTGCGATGATCGCCCTGCTCCTACGCAGGCTCGAATCCGCGCCGCGATATTACGAGACAAGCCCGTTACTTCTAGGCTACGAGCCGCAGTGTACGCCATGAACATTCTTTGATCGAGTTGTAACAATCGAGTGTGCTGGATAGTTAATTAGCATTATACCATTGTATAACTGGAGCTATTCACCCGAGAGAATCTGGGAGCCTTAATATCATGTCTATACACTGAAGATGTGTCGCGTGAGTGACTAGGAGGTGCACTGATGATAGTCGGAGATGATACAGTGGATACAATGACGAACAAAGTCAATGGCTACCCTTACACGCAGTGGATTTCCACTTCAATAGTGTCTAGAGGAGTGTATGATAGAATGCAGCCCACCTGGGCACGCACAACTATGTGCCTTTAGGTTCGGGGTAGCTATCGAAGTGGGTGCAGATGTTAAGCTGGAATTCGCACATAAAATAGAATCTCCGGATTAAAACAAGCAGTGAAATAGGTTGAGTGACCCTTGATAGTCTGAGATGAAAGAATTAGCAACCTAACACGAAAGTTAATTCGTGAAACCATTGTCCACCAGCAAGTGTCTACCGGTTTCAGATGTTGGAAGTGATTTTTAAATAAAAGTAATTAAGAAAATTTTGAGACGCCGTAGTAAACCGAATATATGGATGTTTTGTTCGATCTACAGTAGTAGCATAGGCATTCGTCCTTTGGAGGTCACAAGGACACAATTGCTCTCGCTACTGATGCTGAAAAAGAACCCATTAGGGTTCATAAAGCCTATTTTCACTTGGTTTGACTTGAATAGCCCTGACAGTCCGCAGACGTAGGATGGCCGGGGCCTGAAATTCGGGTTGAGGAAAGCAAAGCTCGTGTGGCCATAGTATAGCATACGCAGACAAAGAGAGCAGCCAGATGGTTTTAACCACCGACGCGTCTCACTCGGTGCATTTCCGAACGGATGGGAAAAATGTCATTTACTAGGTTGACATGGCCGAATAGGGTAACTATGTTGAGGCATTGGTTGTGTCGACTGAAGTAAGCTTCATTTCGATCGATGAAGTTGAATAGCAAAGTGACACGTGGATTCACGCACTACAGGTTATATGGGAACTTGAATCACAACTGCTACATTCGACAGAGGTGAGGCCAAACTGCCCAGAGATATGTCTTGGATACCGCATTCAAGTAAAAGTACTCGAAAGTCGCCAGCCCGATGGCTACCATCCGGGTTGGGCTGAGCGGACGTGTACCGGTGAAACTAGGCATGCATAAGTACAGAAAGGACTAGGTTAAGTGAAAACTGCCCAGAGAATAAGACATGAAAAGTAGTTAAAAGAGAGACTTGAGGTGGTCAGAGATGGTGAAAGTAAAGAAATGCAGGGCGACGAAAATCAGTAGAGGAGTGTTTCACTTCTGTTGTCAAGGCACACTACAAGCCCTACAACGGTGAATACCGGCGCGTATGAGAAGACCTTTTTATGGTGTATCAAATACTGACTAAACGCAGTCACACCTGTCGCGATCTGTTGCAAGTCAGCCACAATACGGATCTAAGAAGGCACTAGCCCAAAGTGGATGCACAGCACAGTCGACTTGATTGGCGACAAAACGTTTTCCCCCTTCGGGTATCCAAAACCTGGAACCCTGTTCCTTCTCAGGTTATTTTGACCACCATATTAACGCCTGTTAAAATACGATGTGACTACACTCTATCCCATATACATAACGAAAGACGGATTAACGCAGACAGTGAGCTCAGCAGCTCAGTCCGTTACGTAGCGATGAGCAGACCAGCATATGTGTTCATGTGAATAAGTCAGTGGGTCACCTCAAACCAGAATTTTTCCCTCTTTCCTGTCACGTTGAACAATCATTTTATACTCCTTACTCTGGCCATCCTACGGGACTTGTGAAGCAATCGCTTTTTTGGCCGTTATAATCAGTGTTCACTGTTCAACTGCTTCCCAAACGACTCTATGAGCTCCGCCGAAGTATGAATGATGTACATAATACATTTTACAGCAGAATGATCAGGATCGTTTACTCTGATCATCGATCGTCTACCGTCTTTCTTGAGACCCACATAAAATGTTCCTGTCTAGCTTTACAAGCAACTGTGTTTCGTCTGTGCAGCCATGTGCATGAGAAAGAAATACCATATATCATCGTCGAAATAGTCAATTACTGACAGCCGTTTGCAGTGGATATTCGGTAGACGAAATTAGCCATCGGTTGGCTAACTTTAACGTGTAAGCGGTCGACTCGAGATCATGCTTTCGCTCCGATTTTGGGCGCAACGTCCAACGATCAGTACCAGGCGTGCGTATTACGCCCACTGATAGGCAAAACGACGCAGGCTCAACAACATGTGTACTTGGAACTTTCGCATCTGTTCCCAGTGCCTATCGGTATTGCCTTGATTCGTCCTAGACTAGGCGATATCGATGTATGGTGTCGGCAAACATCGGCGCTGCCTCCACGATGATGCAATGCTCATAAAGGGGCTGTGCATATGCCACCGAATTCCACTGAATTCGCTGCTGATAAAATTTTGTGTGCTTTAGCCACCCGAATTCCAAACACAATGACGAAGCCAGGCTTCTACGGGTTGTACTAAATTCTGTCAATGAGGTGGAAGCAGTGTTGCTTTCGACTGATCGTCTCCAGAACGAATTCGGTTTGGTCCGCGTCTTTCCAGACATTCCATTGGGCGAGCGCAATACAGCGAGGCAGAGCTAAGAAGAGTTCCAGCTAAACAATGCAGCCAGAACTGCATTTGTCCACAGCGTCGGACAAAACGTTTTCTGCCTTCGGGCATTCAATATCTGCAGCACTCCTCCTTCTCATGTTAGTTTTGCCCTCACAAAAACGCGTTTAAAAGCGATTGAACAATACTCTAACCCATTTATATTTCGTGACATAATCCGTTTCCATCGAAAGACGAATTAATGTAAACAGTGCGCTCAACCGCGCTCTCCATTACGAAGTGCTGAGCAGGCCAGCATTTATGTTCATGTGAATAACTCAGTGGGTCACCCTAAACCGGAATCTTTCTCCTTTTTCTGTCACTTTAAACAACCATTTTATACTCCCCACTCTGGTCATATTACGGGAGTTGTCAAGCAATCGCTTTTTGTCCACTATAAACCGTTGTGCACTGTTCACTTATGACGATTACGGAAGGTGTAGATCAGTTATAGACTGATTCAGTGCAACAGAGACACAGATACTGATTGTGTGTACAAAAACCGAAAAGGGGACTCAGCCAAGAGAAAGTCAATCAGAGCCATCACACAACTAAAGGTACATCGAACGACCGTGCGCTCTTTCAACACTTCAGCAATGTGCCCCAACCCACCATCAACCCGATAAGCAAATGGGACCGGCGGCCCTTCCAACGATGGTGATTAAGGTCCGTATGGCATTGGGACTGATGATAGTCACTACAACCAAAGAACCAGTTGTGTTATGAAGAGGCTCCGGCTCCGGCTCCACCGCAAAAAGCAATAAGCGCTCCTAACTTAGGGAGGATATTACTGGCTCCAAAAGCACGATCCAAGTAAAGTCCAAAAGGAACTTCGGTGTATCCCCAACCTGAATTGCTTATTTGAGGACACGGTATCTCTATTCCCTAATTATTTTGCTCATTTTGCATCGCTTTACTGTGTCCTACAATCGGTTACCATATCGTATATTTATTCCATTCACTCGATCACTGACATATTCTCGACGTTTCAAGGCCATTCAGATTATTATGTTACTGTGACACTGCCCAAATACTCGCACGCCGCCGCACACTGTAGAATTTCTGCCCTCTTGCACTACGATTGCTAAACCTATTCGTAAGTCATGTAGTGTATTTAATATGCCTTATAGCACCACAGTTACAGGGCAATTCGTTTTATTCTTCTGCCCAGACCGTGTGTTAAGTCTAGGTTTATTTGATCGTAGTTGCTGGTTTAGTTTTCGTACGACGTACTTAGTTTAGGCCACGTATCGTTGGTATAATCCCCATGTCGTCGTCATCGTGCGATAACAGTTTAAGGTATGGTAATTAGTAATCTATGTACTGTAGTTTAAGCGGGAGTTGAAGCAAGTGTATGGGTGAAACTCATAGTACTGGCAAGTTTGAAAAACGAAACGATGTCCAGTATTTCTTCAGACGTGTCTGTATAGTATGATTGTGGTGTCAAGTTTTATCCGAATCCTCCATACACCCTAAAAATCAGCCACAACAGACTCCGGTGTCAGGCACCTGTTGAAATATTAGATACTACTGACTAATCACCGGTAGTTCAATATGTATGTATCAAGTAACAGCGCATACGGTCGCCTACACGGAGAGTTCGATGGCTTACCGTTATTAGCAACACCGTAAAATGCTACTGTTTCACGTAATACACCTCGATTTTTCAGTCGCACGTGCGTCACCCAAGGGACGTGTGTGCACATTCGGTAGTGCGCTCAGCAGTCCAACACGCTTTGAGCGAAGGAATACAAACTGATACCAAATATACGCAGCTAACGAAATCGAGCACCAAGGTGGTCGTTAATGGCGGTTTTCGGAGGAAGGGCAGTATATTATTGTTATTATTATCCCCAGTGCTCCTTATTGGGAGAAACTACAATATAAGCGGCCAACGGTATTGTAAACTTGTCACGCGGCGGCCGAGGGCTTCATACAAGCAAAATGAAG